AAAAAATGCCCTTTAACGAAACCAAAAATAAAACAATTTCTTACCAAAGGAAGATCTGCATCCCTTTGTATCTTTCCTTGGCACTTAAGGAAGAGTTGTGATAATACAATCCAAAATAAAACACAAGGAATAATTAATTTACGCATTTTAAATGAATATGAATGTCAATAAGTAAATAAATAAACTATTTAAGTTAAGGTATATTTATTTATAGACTCATATATGTTTTGTTGCAAAACTGTATAATTAAATAATTGTTCTGGTATTGAATTTAAATTTCCGCTAAAATAATTGTTTTCAGAGCAACTGCTCACGTCAAAATTTTATGTTTCGTGATATCTTTATTTGATTAAAATGTCTGAATTTCTTTTACTTTAAAATCATTTTTATTGTGTTAAAATTTTAATTTTGTAAATTTTATTAAAATTAGATAACAAGTTTAATTACCAAAGATAATCGCTTAGTAGTACTTGTAGTAGTACTTATAATTATATTGTATCAAAATTTATCTATAATAACATAAATTTGGTTATAATTACCTATATATATATAAAACTATAATAATTATTAAAGTACTAACATGTCACTAAAATGTTTTTCCATATGTAAACATCACTTAAATACTTTTAAATTATATTCCCAAGTATAAAGTGCATACCAATTAGTTTTATTAAGGAAACAAATATATTTTTGTTGTGTCTACGTTCTGTCTATTTATTTAATACATATTTTTATTAAAAACTACTAGAAGTAAGAACCAAACATCAAATATTAGTTGATACAGGGTGGCCTAACGATAGGGCTTGAAATGTTTTGCTTCACCATTCAAAACATCGTGAAGAAAATCTGTAGAATTTTAAAAAAGCCTTCATGAGTTTATAACACTGAAAAAAATATTGTTCATAATATGAATGAACCACCATCATCAACTGATATTTCATTGGGCAAATGAAGTTTTTTATTAAGGTAATGAAATGCTATTCCTAAATCAATATTATCTTTAATACGTATACGTATCGTATTACCGTCGAATGAAATATATATATATATATATATATTAGGGTGTTTCAAAAAAATCGACTTTTTATTTTTCTTCAAATGGTCGGCAAATTCTTTCAGAGGATGTTAACATAAAGACCTCGTCAAAATTTGAGCTTTTAATTTGAAGATTTAGAGGTCGCGGATCGCAATTTTCTATTTCCCATTTAAATAACATGGGAATTTTTTTTTTTTAACTTTGAAATTTTATACGTCTGAATCAAATCAACTTATGTCAAGGATCATCTTAGATTTTCATAGTAAATTTAACGCTCTACAAAAAAGGTCTCCTATCATTTTTTTATAAATTGATTCCTTCCAGAGTTATTCGAGGCCAAAGTTTGATTTCCATCGAATTTTCGCGTTTTTTTAACATTTATGGTACAATTATCATTATACGGGTGTCCCGAAATCAGGGGGCCAAACTTAAACAGTGCATTATTCGTATAAAAATAACACTTTTTTTGTTTAATAAACATGTATCAAAAAATGCTCCCTAAAGGAGCTACGGCCCCCTGAATAGGAGCCTAAGAGGATAATTTTTTTTAAAACTATTCCTAGAGGGTTGAACATGAACAAATGAATTTTTGGTACTTTGGTAATTTTGACATGCTGAATCTAGATCTATGATCAAAACTGTTAAAATTTAATCATAGGCGTAACATTTGGAGGGGGCAAAGTTACAAAAATAGCCCCAACTTTTTTCTGGGTTAATAATTTAATTTTTTTATGAAATTATGAGAATTTACAGTTTTTTACGAAAAATAGGTACTCTTGATTTGAACTGCTCAGATGCACCATTTTCGAGAAAAATGCATTTATAAATAAATTACTCTGCATATTATACACATCTCATATTTTCATTAAAACTTTGTAGTAGGCTTTGGAAAAAAGTGACGTTTTTTTGTTTTTTTGTTTTTTTTACAACACTTCCTATGTTTCAGATATAAATATGTGATTTTTTTACTACATGATGCTAAAAGTTGAAAAAACGAGAAAATTCGATGGAAATCAAACTTTGGCCTCGAATAACTCTGGAAGAAATCAATTTATAGAAAAATTATAAGAGACATTTTTTATAGAGCGTTAAATTTACTATAAAAATCTAAGATGTTCCTTGCCATAAGTTGATTCGATATAGAAGTATAAAATTCCAAAATTAAAAAAAAAAAATTCCTATGTTATTTAAATGGGAAATAGAAAATTGCGATCCGCGACCTCTAAATCTTCAAATTAAAAGCTCAAATTTTAACGAGGTCTTTGCTTGAAATGTTTTGCTTCACCATTCAAAACATCGTGAAGAAAATCTGTAGAATTTTAAAAAAGCCTTCATGAGTTTATAACACTGAAAAAAATATTGTTCATAATATGAATGAACCACCATCATCAACTGATATTTCATTGGGCAAATGAAGTTTTTTATTAAGGTAATGAAATGCTATTCCTAAATCAATATTATCTTTAATACGTATACGTATCGTATTACCGTCGAATGAAATATATATATATATATATATTAGGGTGTTTCAAAAAAATCGACTTTTTATTTTTCTTCAAATGGTCGGCAAATTCTTTCAGAGGATGTTAACATAAAGACCTCGTCAAAATTTGAGCTTTTAATTTGAAGATTTAGAGGTCGCGGATCGCAATTTTCTATTTCCCATTTAAATAACATGGGAATTTTTTTTTTTTAACTTTGAAATTTTATACGTCTGAATCAAATCAACTTATGTCAAGGATCATCTTAGATTTTCATAGTAAATTTAACGCTCTACAAAAAAGGTCTCCTATCATTTTTTTATAAATTGATTCCTTCCAGAGTTATTCGAGGCCAAAGTTTGATTTCCATCGAATTTTCGCGTTTTTTTAACATTTATGGTACAATTATCATTATACGGGTGTCCCGAAATCAGGGGGCCAAACTTAAACAGTGCATTATTCGTATAAAAATAACACTTTTTTTGTTTAATAAACATGTATCAAAAAATGCTCCCTAAAGGAGCTACGGCCCCCTGAATAGGAGCCTAAGAGGATAATTTTTTTTAAAACTATTCCTAGAGGGTTGAACATGAACAAATGAATTTTTGGTACTTTGGTAATTTTGACATGCTGAATCTAGATCTATGATCAAAACTGTTAAAATTTAATCATAGGCGTAACATTTGGAGGGGGCAAAGTTACAAAAATAGCCCCAACTTTTTTCTGGGTTAATAATTTAATTTTTTTATGAAATTATGAGAATTTACAGTTTTTTACGAAAAATAGGTACTCTTGATTTGAACTGCTCAGATGCACCATTTTCGAGAAAAATGCATTTATAAATAAATTACTCTGCATATTATACACATCTCATATTTTCATTAAAACTTTGTAGTAGGCTTTGGAAAAAAGTGACGTTTTTTTGTTTTTTTGTTTTTTTTTACAACACTTCCTATGTTTCAGATATAAATATGTGATTTTTTTACTACATGATGCTAAAAGTTGAAAAAACGAGAAAATTCGATGGAAATCAAACTTTGGCCTCGAATAACTCTGGAAGAAATCAATTTATAGAAAAATTATAAGAGACATTTTTTATAGAGCGTTAAATTTACTATAAAAATCTAAGATGTTCCTTGCCATAAGTTGATTCGATATAGAAGTATAAAATTCCAAAATTAAAAAAAAAAAATTCCTATGTTATTTAAATGGGAAATAGAAAATTGCGATCCGCGACCTCTAAATCTTCAAATTAAAAGCTCAAATTTTAACGAGGTCTTTGTTTTGACATCCTCTGAAAGAATTTGCTGACCATTTGAAGAAAAAGTCGATTTTTTTGAAACACCCTAATATATATATATATATATATTAGGGTGTGCCAAATTTTAAGTTTTTTCGTCTAAATAACATGGAATTGGTTTTTTTGACAGTTTTTTGTCCTGCAAGGTGTGAAATTTTTTTTTTTTATGAAAATACATAAATGGACCTTTTTTATCATTAAATTTACCACAAAAAGTTCTATGAAGTCAAATTTTTATCTTCAATACTTGATTTTTGACAGAGCTTTAAACTTCAAATTATCGGTTTTCTGCATTTTTTAGCTATACCATAAGAGTTAGAGAAAAATGTTAAATAGCCGATTTCTAGAAAGTTTAAAATCCTACAAAAAAGTCCTGATCACCAATAGCTACAAAGTTATAGCCCTACAAATATTCATTTTTTTTAAATTTTTCCTTCTACGAACTAAAATATCGATAATTAAACTAAAGGATAGAATAAAAAATACTTTAAACATATTTGTTAAAGAAATTTAAAAATAAATGTGTAAGTATTTAAACTTTTATATATTTTTTAAATTCTGTATATTTATTGTCTAAAACAAACCTTTATAAACTCTACTTAACTGGCATAAACAATTCTTATTTTCACACATCTTCTGTGAATATAAGGAAATGCCATCGGTTTGTCACGGTTTGCCATGATAATTATCTCTTAGCCCACCTTAACACAGTGTGTCCCACAATGGTGGTGAAAAAACGAAAATGTTTGATCTACAGACCTCAGTATTAATGATACTTACTGTTCATTAATATTGAACTCTCCCATACATTATTATAATAAAAAAAGTTATTGATTAGATGAATACACTCATTAATAGTGTGATTTTCAACATTAAATCAATAAAATCTGTTTATTGGTACAATAAATGTATTCGTTAAAGCAACACCATTCATTGTTGAAATGAACATTTTCATTGTATTTATGTCCACTTTTAGTTCAGTGAAGTTATTCAGCTTCTGTGATGGTTGGGCTGAAACCTGTGCAGCTGATAAACTCAAATGGTTTCTGGCAATTTTATTATTTAACAAGATTGCGTTACATTCAGCTTAATCAACGCTTAGGAATCGCCCAACTTAAACCCTCGAATAAGGTACTAATATGATTTTAATAATATATATCCAAACTAAATAAAGGTAAATAAAACATGTTTTTTTAAAAATCTTTGTTTAGGTATGTATATAGTGATCTAAAGTCCTAATTACTCTATCATTAACCAAATTTTTGAGATTCCTAGCTGCAATAAAGTCCAAGTGGGTAAACTTCTTAACAGGTATGACATAGAATTCTTTCACATTTGGTAGGATGTCTGCAATCTCATGAAGATCCTTAAAAAGTACATTGTAGAAAAAGAAAAACTACAAAAAAATTAAACATTTTACCTGTACAGCAACAAATATATCATTCTGACCTGCGTAGATATAAGTCGGCAAATCCATGGATTTTAAATCGTATTTTGGAGGTTTTGTGCTGTTGTATCTTTTTAAATTTTCCTCCGGGCCGTAGTCAAAATGCACAAATGATTCTAAAAAAATACAATATTTAATTATAACCACTTTTTTAAGTCTGATAGGGTTAAATCATGCAATCTTGGGGGCCATTGTTAATGATGACATCCAAAACCTTATTTTTTAATATTAATAACAAAACATCCTTATTGAAAAACCTTGTATACTAATAGTGACTTACTCGCTTCGCGTACTTGTATAAAGTGCTCTAATTGCTTAACAGATCCTCCAGCAGGAAATATTCCAGAAAATTGAATCAATTGTTTCTAAAAGTTTAAAAATACAAAAAATAATATGAAAAATTTAAACAATTAATAATATTTACTAGGTCGATTTGTTCTGATTCTCCAAAAATGTAGGTAACAATGGATGGAAGTATTGATGGAAACTGTTTGGCAATGGTAGCAATGATAAGTCTTATTTCATCATAGTCCACGTATAGTATGTTTTTTCTTTCTTTCACCAATTGAAAACCTTCCTTAAAGATTAAAGAAACCTAAAGTATTTCTTAGTTTTAAAATTATATAAGGTGTCGTAGCCACTGAGAAAAAGGGAACTGTATATTAAAATTATGCACTTTTATACTAACCCACATTGGTGGTCCATCAATATCCATTAACTCCAATAACAAAGGGTGTTTGCAATGATTGAAGAGTAACGCGGGCGATAGAGCTATAAAAACGGATATTTTTTCTTTGTATTCAGGCAAATCCGTAGCCATAACCAAAAAAACTGCACCACCCTGTGAGTGACCAACGTAGGCGATTTTGTCGTGGTCCGTGTTATTCAAAATCAAATCTATGGTGGCTGGTAGATCGTAGATACCCATTTCATGCCAGCTAAAAACATACGTTCAGAGCCAGTTTTGTACACCGAAAGAAAAAAATGCTTAAATTAACCAATAAATGGTTAAATCACCAGTTTTTGCACATTCAATACAAAACAACGTTTTCTTGGAGTTGAAAGAACAATTCATGAATGGTAAAATATAACTGTTGTTTTAATAAATTAAAATTATTAAATTAAAATTTTAGAAAATTATTTTAATCTCTTTTGGTCCAACCACTAAAAATATTAAAATAAAATACACGGATTTTTAAAATATTATTATCGTAATATTTAATCAAATTATAATTTTATAATAATAATTATAAAAAATATTAATTTAATGCACAATTAGTATTAAAATAATAAACATGGGAGCAGTTTTAATCTTTAAAATTAATTGAATTAATAAATTTAAAGGATAAAAATATGAATTCTTACTTAAATCAAATAATTAAAATATTGATTCAAAAAATTTTAATTTAAAATATTGGATAATTATACGAAATATAGTAGTATATTATGTATCAAGTTTGATAAACCCCATTTTATACACGAAATAAATTAATGAGTGTATAGAAAAGTTTATAAACGAGGTGCATAATATACTTTTTCTACAATAAATACTTATTATTATCTTAAAATTATTTAAATCAAAAATTTGTATAGAGCGCCATCTATGAAACAATAGGGGAATCTGTGTGTCACCGTCAAATGTCACATTTTTAAATTTCATAAACACAATTATAAAGGTTATAAATCGAAATGTATTTCTTGATAATTGACAGTTTTTCGCAGTGAAAGTAAAAAAAATGTTTTATGAGCACTTTACAGTGGAGTCCGTGCCCGAATTTAAGTTATAGTTTACTGCCGGCGAAATTAAAAGGTCAGTACAACGTTCATATAAACTATTTAAATATTGGCGTTGAAAAGCTATTTAATACTTTTGTATTTTTGTATTGAGATAATAAAATAATTTTCACATTTGGTATTATTTTACAAGAAAGGCAATTTATTGTATGACATTTGACAACTGTCAACTAACTTAAAACTAACTTTAGCCCGTGACTAAAGCGCCGTAAAGCCACAACTTGTCAATGTGTATTTAAAAGGTCACTTAGTGTCATGGAAACATGTACGATAAAGGGCGTTTTAAAGGTGGGAGTAGAATAAAGTATGTTAATGTAACTAACTGGAAAGGTTGAATACAATATCAAATTAATTTAAAAAACTTTATTCAAAAAATACAAATTTATTTGAACACAAAATAAAACATAATAAATCATTTTTTTTAATTTTACTTAAATATGTAATACATATTATGTATACAGTACTTAACCGCAATAGTTTTTTGTATTTCTCTTATTTCTTTTAAAACCTCTTTTACAATTTCGTCGTTTATATTTAAAAGCCTTTCTTCATCGATATCTTGTCCTACAATAAAGTTTATTTGTCTAATAACGATTCCATTGCTAAAAAAGTTATGAATGCTATATTTAAACATGTACCTACATGTAGGTAGGTAATAATCATGTCACAAGCATGGTGACACGAGAAAATATTACTATAATATTCGTCTTTATCTTCAATTATTACAAAACAACAAATATTAAACATATTAGATATTGTAAAAGAAAAGATATTTTAGAAAAATTACACTTACCAAGGTTTTTCACTGTAAAATTTCCTCAAACGACATCAGAACAAACAATGGCGTGGTGGCAGAGATTGAAAAAGAGAAGGGCAAAAAATGCAATTCATTTAACTATCCGTATGAGTTAAATTAAATTACTCTCGGTTGAACTATCTTTACATTGAAGTAATAAGATAAAAATGTTAACAAAATATCTTGCAATTTTAGAATAATTAGTAAGATATGTTGACTCAATATTCTGAGTTTGTAGAGGCAAAATGCAAAAGAACATTACTTCAATAATTTTAGCTTTTCGTTTAATTTTTGTTTATGTATTCATGTAACTAATAAAAAAATGATTTTTAATCAAATTTCTTAACAATATTTATTCAATAAACGATTGGTGTTGCTATACTGATTTAAATAAAATGGACTATTAAAACAACATTTTTAATTTGACATTCTCAAAATATTAGTTGAAGGTAACATTTAAGTTTATGGCAACAAAATGTTTATTGTTTTAATATCAAAAGGCATAGCATTTCTAAAACTTGTGATTTAACAAATTCATTCCTCTCAGTGTAGCAATATCTGCTAAGGATCAGATTGATAAGAACTGATAAGTTTAAGGCACCGACGGTCTTTTGGGCCTCATTGGTGCCGGGTAGCCAGGTGGTGATGAAGCACATAAGAGACCAGAGGATTATTTTTTACCTGAAATCCCAATACAGCGAGTCCCTTTTCTTCGAGTCGAGTGTCCTGTGTCCCAAGGAGTGCATACTGCCCCTGACATTGGGCAGCCAGACGTCGTAACCGGCGTCCGCAGCTTCGAAGCTGAGCGACCCTTTCGGCCCGTTCATGATGTAGTTTTCGGAGCAGCCGAACAAGCCGTGCATGAGGATAACCGGCGGTCGGTTTGTGGTGTTCTGGCTGTGTCTTCCGTAAGGGATTCGATGGATTTTAAGGAAGTAGCCATCTTTGGTTTCGATGTCATACGATTCGATGGGGTAGCCGAACGATGCTACGTATTCCTCCTAAATAATACGAAATACAGCCCGTTCAGAGTAAAACCGAATATAGGGAAACGTATGGGGCGTGGCCTCGCCTCCTTCCAACGCGCTCACATTAGCTTGTGTGATAAACGACATGACGAAAGGTCGGGCAGGTAAGACGACTTAAAAAATTAAATGATAATAATGCAAAAAATCTCATTAACATTCGCTTAGCTACTGTGTCGCGCGTTGGAGGGAGGCGAGGACACGCCCCATACGTTTCCCTATATTCGGTTTTACTATATGATTTTCAATACACAGTAAAAAAATTTTAGTCTTATCCCAGGTGAAAGTTCCTAAATCCTAATTTATATTTTTTCGTCGATGGAATGATAGTAGTGTTCCACATCAATCTAACTTTACACTTAAATATACATTTAACACTAGCCAAGCTCTACACTAATGTGTAAATATGCAATCAGGGGGAGTTCAGTTGACAAAAACGCAAACTAGTTTCGTTCATTGTTCACTCAGAATTTGTTTTGGAAGAATGCACCAGTTCTGGTTTATAATTATTAACTAAAGGTAAGTCAATTTCAAAGTAATATTACTCATCATGGTTTATAATGTCAAAAATTGCATTTGGTTTTGGTTCAAAAGGTCGAAAATCGCGTGAAAATCGAGTTTTGTTTATTGTACAGACAAATTTTAAGTACAGTTCTTACAATAGCTCAGTTTAATGTATATAATAAGTAAAACGTTTTTTTTTAATTTTAGATGTTTTTCCTGAGAGTAAAACATGTCCATGATGGAAAGTTTAAAAACAATAAAACCTTAGCAGATACCAGCAGATGGCATTTTATGATGACAACTTATAGCACTGAATTGCAAAGAGGACCTTCAAAGTTTTATTTTGAGATTATCACTGCAAATTTGGTATATAATTATATAGAAGAATTTCCCGATTCCATAGAAATTTTAGTCACAAAATGGGTAAGAACCTGTATAAATCTACGAGATTATAAGCTTGCTTTACAAAGAGCCGTACAATTTACAACAATCTAACAGTGTCAATTGGTACTTTGTGCCAAAATATTATTTGGTGTTTTGAACGTATTTATATTTTAAGTAATTGCCAAAGATTAGTTTTATATTTTGTAGCGTAAAACTAACAATGGACTGTATTTACGTTTTTATATAAAGTAATTGCCATATATTGTAGTTTAATTTTTTGTAACGTAAAACTTACAATGGACTGTATTTTTATATAAATATAAATTTTATTTGTTTTATATAAACATTATTTAAACACCACAGCAGCGCTACCCAAAAGTAATACATATAATTAAAAATAAATGAATATATAAAAAATTAATAAGATCAGAATCATTGCAAACCTGCATTATATATTTTTTTAAGTGTACAATAATTTTTATATTATAACACTTCAAAGTCTATACAGGGTGTCTCAAAAGTCAACGATATCCTTTGAAGGACTAATAGGTCAGCTCATGACTAATCAGAATATCATAACATGACACAACTACAACATTCTATATTCTTAGATTATATTTTATTTTGCGTAACCCTGAATAGGACTGCTATTAATTACATTTTACATTTAAAATTAAATTAATAGTAGATTTTGTAGCTGTGGCACTCGAAAAACTGATCTAAGGTGTAAAGTTTTACAAAACTCATAAAAATGACTATATCTCAAAAACGAACGATTTTTTACCAAGGTCATATTTTGATTTTCTGATTAGTTATGAGTTGGTCTATCAGTCCTCCAAAGGATATCGTTGACTTTTGGGACACCCTGTATATTAGGTTCAACTGACGAAGACATTTTAGCTTTATTTCGGTAGAAAGTTTAATAATTATTTGACTTTTGAAGTAGTATTTTATATAAAAAGACCATGAATATTATTACTAGTTCAACAGTCAACTTCTTAGCGAAATAAAGCTAAAATGTCTTCGTCAGTTGAACTAAACCTAAAAGTGATGTGACAGAATTTTAAAAAAATTAAAAATTGCAGTGCTTGAAAAAAAAATAGTAGGTATATAAAACACGGCAGCGAAAGCTCGCACACAATCTACTGCCTCAGCTGACGCCTCGGCAGTAAAATGTATGCTCAGCGATAATAAGTGCTTTCTCCGCTTGGTGTTTAATGTACTAATATTATATTATATATTATACCCACAGACCTGTGATTATACCATTTTTATCGAAATTAAATTAATTTAACTCTTAGAAATAACATTCACACTAAAAGTGAAATAAATGCAAATAAATTAGTGTCAAAGTAAACACTTTTTTTTCATTTAAAAAATCCAAATTATACAGATTTTATACCATTTTAAATTTTTAATATTTCTTTTCAAAGATTCGGGAAAAAGTGAGGTTATTATAAATTTTCTTATCAAATTACTTAATAATGCGCATTATTTACTAAAAATATATTATTTATACTAATTTTTTTGTTTAATTTATTAAAAAATTATGTAATTTAGTTCCCTTTATTCCAATAAAAAAATCTCAATTACTAAAAAAATATCAACGTACCATTTTGGGGTACGTAGTAATATCGGCGTCACTGTCTGCTTTGACAAGGCACACAAGCACTAGCACGTTTACTGCAAAAAATACGTCTTTGGAGAGCATGTTTGAAATTTCTAATAAATATTTAACGAGCAACAATCCTATTTAACTGAATGCCAATTAGATACGAAATAATTTGCCTATGGTGGGTAAATTTGTATTACCTCTATTACTTTTTTCATAACCCAATTATTTTTAATTTTCGAATAAATATTTTTAAATGGAAACATGTTTTTTTTTTAATCTAATAAAAGTCGTTTAATACGGCCAATTATAATATATATTAATATACATATATATGTATATATATTTTAATTTATATATTATACGCGGAAAGACTATAACCGATGATCATGATAATGTGGGTTCTAATTAAAATAAAACAATTTTTTATACACATTCACAAAGTTCATCATGTTTTTAAAGAAGTAATATAGGTTTTTACCCAGTTTTAAAATAAATAGTACTTATATTACTAGGGTGATTTTTTTTTACAACTATTTTTATTTTTTCGCTCCCAACTCAAAATCTTGTTGAAAATGTTCAAAAAAAAATTCCCTGAAAATTTGAGCCCTTAATATTAACTCAAAGTACTCGACCAAAGCGTATAAATATTTCCCATTTAAAATACACGTTAACTTTGAATATTTTTTTTTAAATATCTATATCTCAGCCGCATTTTATGCTATTGGATTGTTTCAAAAAAGGATTTACTCGTAATCAAAAGTTCTACAAAAATTTAAGTTGTGGTAGTTTGGATATATTTATTTTAAATATTTTTGATACAAATTTCTAAACATCTGTGTTTACTCAAAATAAAAGCATTGATAGAAAAAACTTCTTAATTGCACTATGGAGATGACCTACTTACTTAGCATACAAATATGTATGTTTAGGAATTTAGTACTATAGTAGAATTAATTAAGTGCTATAGCTAATTACCTAGTATACTTAAGTAGCTCATCTCCATAGTGCAATTAAGTCGTCTTTTCAAACAAACCTTTATTTTGAGTAAACACAGATGTTTAGAAATTTGTATCAAAAATATTTAAAATAAATATATCCAAACTACCACAACTTAAATCGTATGTAATAACACAATAAAATATTTTTGAGATATACCAGATATATTCCTTGGTAATATAAACCATAATAATATTTCTGAGATATACCAGGTATATTCCTTAAAAATATTAAACATAAAAGAAAGGTATCTGAAAGATTTTGTGCTATCTGGGCATTTATGCTTAGTACGATTGATTGATTTTTTTACTTTTTATTGTGTTGAACATTTAATGATTTAAACATTTATTATTTACTGTTGTTCACAATTTTTTTAAGGAGTTTCAATGATCATCGCTTGATTAACAAAATATGTGGCAAAATTGCTGTCGATCGACACTGCAGTGTAATCTGAAGAAAAAATATAGAATTTATTTTACCTTTAATTCGTATAAAAACTGTGGTTTTAAAGATATTTTTAAATAAGTAAAAACGCCTTTGGTTTACTATGGAAAATATGGAAAATCAACATTTATAAATTTTGTTATTTTTAAATTCATTCGACAATTTTATTTAGGAATTGAATTTTAATTGTTCGGAATACGATTTTTTATTTTAATTTGTTGACTAGGGTAATAATACCTAGTCAACAAATTATAATAATTAACAAAAAAAATTACACAATATTTTATCAATTATTAAGCTATTAATGTACCTAATTTAAAAAATTGTAAATAAGAAAGCGCAGTTTTATTTTTGTAAATAAACAACATTGCGTATGTTTTGATTTTGGTACTAAAATTAAATTTAATTTAGGGCAATAAAAATTAAAAAACTAACCTTTGGCAAATCATAAATATTTGATGTGGTTAATAGACATATTAAACATGTGCTGAATTTTGTTTACATTTTATTTTATCAAATTAATAATTAATAAATTTTGTATACACTCACCGGCCAAAAAAACGACAAATTGATTTTAATATCCCAAAAGAGTGAAGTTAATGAAAAAACATCGTATCGCATAAAAATAATATGAATTAAAATTGAAAATGTGTTTTATTATAAAAATATATAGGGTGTTCCAGAAGTCTTCAAGTCTGACGTAAAATACCCTAACGGATTTGAAACTTTTTATGATTATGATTAAGAATGAATCTACCAATTTATTAGTACGCAATATTGCCATTTAAAAAAATATGTATCCCCTGTTTCTTTTTAAATAACGTAGGATGTTTTATTTGATTCCTAGGGGTCTGGTGTGCGATTTCTGGGACACTCTGTATATGTAGGTATATAAATTTCCAATACAATATATTATATCCTAGATAAAAAGTATAAATTTAGGTTGCTCTATCATAATGCGTGGTTATAGGTTGCAATATTCATTTTATTCATTTGATTTTAATGACGAGTTTCTTAATTAGCATAATTTGTAATTAATTTTTATGTAGGATTTTATCTAATGATTTACGTAAGTAGATTTTTTACATATATGTCATATGATATATCATCTATTATATGCAACTCGTGAATAATTTTATTTCATTAATTTTTATACTTTATATTGCCAGTAAAATTAATTGGGAAGAAAAAAACAATATATGCTAGGGTGTGTCATTTTTGAGCAACTTTTTTTTTTACTAAAAAACAGGCTAAAAACTTTCAGGAAGGTGAAAAAAAAAGCCTCTAGAAATTTGAGCTCTTTATAATAACATTAAGTGGTGCCTGTTCCTAACTTTCCATTTTCCATTTAAATAACATGGAAAAAAAAATCTTTTTTCTTATTTTTGTATCTTGCATTGTAAAAACGAACTGAAAAATTATTTTGGTAGGAAATTGAACGCTCTACAAAAAAGTACTAATTTATTTTTTCATAGAGTAAGCCGTTCTGAAGGTATTCAAGGTAACTTGCAAATGTATGAAATTATGACTTTTATTTTATTAAACTAACTACATACGGTATATATAGGGTATAATTGGAATAAATAATTATTTATAATTATAATTATAAAAATTAAGCTATTAAAAAGTATATTTTAGTATAATGTTAAATAGCAATTTTAAAAGAGCTTTCCAATGAGGTATCACAAAGAATTGAGTTGGGGTGGCTACAGGTCCATACCTATAGATCATTTCTCGTTTTTAAATAGAAGTAATATAAAATGTATATTCAGAAGTATATAAAGTGCTCTTTTAGTTCCACCCTTACTTCCTAAGAAGTCCCAGAAGCCAACTGAATGGCTTGAGTGGGTTAGGGGTAGGAATGAACCGCGGGCTTAAAGTCCCCTTCATAAGACTAATACACAATAGGACAAAATAAACACAAATAAACCACCTTACCAATGTGGGACTCGAACCAACGACCTCTCGGCAGCACTGACCACTAGTCCACCGTTGGTGGGTATATTAGTCGTGTCAAGATTTACGAATGAAGTATGACACAATCACATTCTTTATACAAAAAAAGTTTATATACAATGACAATTATAATCTTTCTACGATTTAAATACTTTAAAGGATATTAAACATAACATAGAAAAAAATATATTTTATATAAAAACATATGTTATATTCATTCGTAATTCTTGACACATCTGTTATAGCATCGTGGCGTCACACACTCTCATCAAGGTCATGGAAGCGTTTTAAATCTTGCGTTTTTTAAAACGCTGTTTTTAAAAAATGGGTCAAATTGCCGGAATATGTATACGTACGCTTTTTATTTAAAAAAAAATGAGAACCTAAAATTTTCCTGACGTTTTGTTCTGTTTACTATTAATTATTTACTTTTATGAGGAATTTAATTTAAAAAAACACGTAACATAAAGCTTATTTTTTAATTTTATTAGATAATATTTTTAAAATCTTATCGACGACTACCACATTGAGATTCCTCGCTGTACAAAAATCCATATGGGCAAATTTTTTTATCGGTACCACATAAAATTGTTTTACATTCGGCAAAGTATCTCGAAGATGTTCCAAATCCTGGAAAATGGTACCAAGTTATTATGATTAATACTTTACATGGGTATGGTTTGACGAGGAGAAAACGATAACGTGAGTACAAATTTCCAAAATTTACAAAATTCACAAAATTTACGATGGTTTTAAAGTTATAAACAGTAACTAGTCAATAACAATAGCTAGTTACTAGTCAGTAACTAATCAGTAACTAAAATTTCCATAATTTTCAAGTTTTTAAAATTACAAACAGTAACTAGTCACTAACTAGTTAGTAACTAGTCGGTAACTCGTCAGTAGGTAGCTAATTAGTAACTGGAATTTTTTTTATTATTTCCAAAATTTTTTAAATTTGCTAAATTATCAAAATTTTCTTTTTTAAAATTAAACAGTAACTAGTCAGTAACTTGTAACTAGTCAGTAACTTGTAACTAGTCAGTAGGTAACTGCTAAAATTTTCATAATTCTTAAATTTTTTTTTTAAATTAGCATAATTTTCAAGTTTTTAAAATTTTCATAATTTTGAAGTTTTTAAAATTACAAACAGTAACTAGTAACTAACAAGTCAGTAACTTGTAATTAACTAGTCAGTAGGTAACTGCTAAAATTTTCTAATTCTTAAAATTTTCAGAAATTCCATAATTTTTAAGTTTTTAAAATTACATCAGTAACTAATCACTAACCAGTTAGTAACTCGTCAGTAACTGTGAAGTTTTTTACAATTTCCAAAAAATTTTAATGTTACAATATTTTCAAAATTTGCTAAATTATCAAAATTTTTGATTTTTAAATTACAAACAGTGACTAGTCAGTAACTAGTTAGTAAGTAGTCAGTAGCTTGTAAGTAACTAGTCAATAGGTAACTGCTAAAATTTTCATAATTCCTAAATCTTTCATAATTTTTAAGTTTTTAAAATTACAAGCAGTAACTAGTAACTAAATCAGAAACTGGGAATTTTTTTAAAATTTCCAAAGTTTTCAGAATTTTCGTTTTTAAAATTATAAACAGTCAGTAACTGGTAAGTAGCTAGTCAGTAACTTGTAAGTAATTAGTCAGTAGGTAACTGCTAAAATTTTCATAATTAAAATTTTCATAATTTTCATAATTTTTACGTTTTTATAATAACAAGTAGTAACTAGTAACTAACTAGTTAATAACTAGTCAGTAGGTGTCTAATCAGAAAATTTTTCAATATTTTCAAAATTTACTAAATTATCAAAATTTTCGTTTTTAAAATTACAAACAGTAACTAGTCAGTAGCTAGTTAGTAATTATTCAGTCACTTGTAAATAACTAGTGAGTAGGAAACTGCTGAAATTTTCATAATTCTTAAAATTTTCAATATTTTCATAAGTTTATGTTTTTAAAATTACAAGCAGTAACTAGTCACTAACTAGTTAGAAACTAGTCAGTAACTGTAAAATTATTTAAAATTTACAATATTTTTAAAATTTGCTAAATTATCAAAATTAGTACCTTGTAAGTAACTAGTCAAATTTTTATAATTCTATAAATGTTCATGTCATTATCAAGTTTTTAAAATTACAAACAATAACTAGTAAACAACTAGTTTGTAGCCAGTCAGTACTTAGCTAATCTATAAATGGAAATTTTTTTAAAATTTTCAATATTTCCAAACTTTACTAAATTATTAAAATTTTCGTTTTTAAAATTAAAAACAGTAACAAGGCAGTTACTAGTTAGTAACTAGTCAGTTACTAGTTAGTAACTAGTCAGTAATTAGTTAGTTACTAGTCAGTAGCTAAAATTTTCTAAATTTCCATATATGTATGGAAAACTATAGTTTTCATGTTTTTAAAATTAAAAACAGTTACTAGTCTCTAACTAGTTAGTAGCTAGTCAGTAACTAGACAGTAGGTAGCTTATCAGTAATTTCCAAAATTTTCAAATTTTTTAATGTTTTCAAAATTTGCAAAATTATCCAAATTTTTGTTTTTTAAATTACAAACATTTACTATTTAGTAACTAACTAGTAACTTGTAAGTTACCAGTCAGTAGGTAAACATTTTATAATTTTTAAAATTACAAACAGTAACTAGTCAGTAACTCTTCAAAAGGTAGCCTGACCAAAATTTTTTATACACTTCAATTTTTCGTATTGTTGCATAATTACTTTTATAGGTATATAAATATCACTTTTTGTAGCAAAAATATAAATTGGCAGATCCATTCCTTTAACATTATATTCCGGAGGTACTGTTTTATTATATATTTTCAAATTCTTCTCGGCACCATAGTCAAAATGTCTAAATGACTCTAAAAAAACTTGCTTATTTATAATTACAAATATTTTTTTTAATATTCTTACTGCTATTAATGTTTTGAGAAAAGTGTGCAATTTGTTTTATAGATGAGCCAGCTGGAAGTGTTGGCAAAAACTCGATTACTTGTTTCTAAAATGTTAAAAAATAGTTTGTTTTGTCATATTACAATATTACAAAATAAGTACAAAATCAGTAACTTCAGATTCTCCGTTGAACATCTCCCAAACATAACGTAAAAGTCCAGGAAATAAATCCTTGAATGCATACATAAAATATCTCAGATCGCTGTACGATGAATAGAATAGCCTTTCCCCGGAGTTAACTGACAAGTAAACACTCTAAAATAAAGCAAAATGATATGTTTTAAAAAATGCACATAAAGATTTACAAAAAAAAACTTGGCACAAAAAAAATCTTCTTACAATGTCTCAAAGTTCTACTTACATAAATTGTTTTAAAATCTTTGACCAGATCCTTTAACACAGTATTATTGAAATGATTTAGATAAACTGCGGGAGCCATAACAATAACTTTGGATAGCTTTTTCTTATACTCAGGTCTTTCGCTCGCCGTCACGAAAACAATTGTTCCACCCTGGGAATGACCTATATACGTCACCTGTTTAGATCCAGTTTTCTCGATTATCTTATCTATTACAGCTGGCAAGTCGTATTTTCCAATTTCATGCCAACTAAAAAATATGTTTATATATAATTTTAAAATAACAATATTTGTATTGTTGTATTGCGAAACGAATTTTCTTCAGTTCAGTAAAATTGTAAAATGTATTTTCTAATTTTTTTAAACTGAGTTAAAATAAATTGTATAGTATAATAATTATACTATAATTAGAATACACAATTTTAAAATTTCTAAACATATTTAGATTTTTTTTAGCAAAATTACAATACCTGTATAGTAATGTTACTGAACAAATTTTTAATAAATGCTTAGTGAATTTCAACTAAACGTTTCGTAATTTTTCCAAATTGAGTTGTAATGAATCGTGTAGTGAATTTACAAAACTGAGTTTTATTATTACTATATTGTGGTGCGTAAAAACAGTGTAACTTCAGTTGAAGTTCATTGATGGCATCTTTTTATGATATGATTTTTATAACAGTGTATATAATAAATTTATTATAATTGAAAACCTTGAAAATTCCCTCGTGTATACACTATAGTGAACCTGATACGCATTACAAATTAAATATTTAATTTAATTAATGTAATCTGTAAGGGAATATTTTTTAACTATTTCTTAAAATTAATTTGCCCAAAATGCTAAGCAAATAATTGAAATTTAACCCAAACAAAATTATAGTTGAGCCAGATAATTTTTAATATATTTTTATTTTTACTATATAAAAAATAATATGGTAACAGTTATGGAGAGGACAAGTACAATGTGGTTGAGTAGTTTACACATATATTTTTTTAAAGGTTAATAAATATTGTGGATTTGTCAAAAATGTTTTCTATATTAACAACTACCTAAAAGGTTAACATTGTTCTAAGGTTGAATCATAAAAATATATGGCTCGAAGTAAAAAATTTCATTGGAATATTTTAAAATGTTTACCTAAAATCCCAGTAGCTTGCGTTCCTATCTGGATCTAAAGTTTTGTGTTTTCTAGAATGCGTGGTGCCTCTGCAATTTGGCAGCCAGACGTCGTAACCAGCTTCAGCTAATCTAAACGATAAGGATCTATCTGGGCCCAGCATTGCAAAGGATTCTGGCCCAGCCAATATACCATGCATTAAAATAATTGGCGTTCTTCTCGAAGTTTTCTTGAATTTTTTTCCATGGGGGATCCTGAATATTTTAAGAATATAATTATCTTCAGTTTCAACTATGTGGGATTCTATGGGGTAACCAAGAGACGTAACGTACTCAACCTAACAAAGAAACTTCAGAAATGCGTTAAAATGTTACACAGGATGTTACCATGTCTGGTTTTGAAAATGGCTCGCTAGTATCACTAAAAACACTTTTCACTAAAACTAATATCACTATAAAGTTGACTAAATCCTTGGGAGATTGCATTTTACTTCACTTCCTTCAGACAGATTTAAACTAAAAAGTTATTTTTACGGGATCGGCTTTTAACAGGTTATTTGATAATTATCATACAAATGTATAATTAGTTTTTTATATGAAACACGCGATTGATTTTGTTTATTAAATATTACTACCAATTTAATAAATAAATATTGCGATTTCAATTAAAACATGTAATTAATACAGTGCAGAGGTACGAACCGCTAGGTTTTTAACATAAACAATTTATGAAACATTTTCAATATGGTTTTTTTTAAATAGTTGGACAAAATAACAAGTTTTAAATGTAAATCCTATGTTGCTAATTATATTTTATATTTTAAATAATATTATAATAAAAATAAAATTTCTTAAATAAATTAAATATTTCAGTTCATCGAGGTATGTCACATAAAAATCTTAAAAATATGAGGTTTTATTATTTGTTACATTGCCCAATATTTTCAAAATTTTGTTTACAACCAAGACGTCAAGGTTCTTTGCACATGTAAAATCCATATGAGCAAATTTATTAACAGGTACTACATGATATTGTTTAACATTTGGCAATGTATCTCGGAGATCTTCCATGTCCTAAAAATAAAAAATAATAATTTTCTTATAAAATAATAAAATCTATTGCTTTAAGATGTTTTTAATAAATTATAAATATATATATAAAAATACCCATAATAAAAAGTTTTTAAAAATGTGTTTTATCCGAAATCGGCAGTAAAGTAGTCAATAATCGGCATTAAAGTAGAACTTTACTGCCGATTTAATACGAGTATTGTATGCAACCCATTATACATTTTAAGATGTGTCTATTGTTCCTCAGCAGAAACTAAATATTATTAAAAAAAGCACCGTCGCGGAGGTCGATTGGACCCTTTCATAAAATGTTGTTTAATAAAAATAATAAGTGAATTTTATTGGGTGACATTCACAATATCGAAATTCATTATATCGAATTCAAAATATCGAACACTTTTTATCGAAAATCAAAATATCGAAAATACAAAATGTCGAAAATCATAATATCGAAAATTAAAATGTCGATTTGAAAATGTCGAAATTTTATTTAATCGAATTTTCAATTTATCGAAAATAAAATCTCGACCGCTGTCATACAGGTTATGACGAATAGCTGTCATCTTGGTTATGCAGGTACACTGCATTGTGCCATACCAAACCAACCCAAACTTAACAACCCAACCCAACCGACCCCGCCCCATTGGGCCCCTCCCGCCCCATTGAGCAATAGAGGTATAATATATCTAAGGGCAGGCTGGATTGTGACAATGGGGCGGGAGGGGCCCAATGGGGCGGGGTCGGTTGGGTTGGGTTGTTAAGTTTGGGTAAGTTTGGTATGGCACAATACAAAGTACCTGCATAACCAAAATGACAGCTATTCGTCATAACCTTGAGGAATACTTTGCTACATTTAGCCTCTAGTTGAAAATGAGGTTAAAATATGCGACGGTTGAGCACACACATTTCTACGTCCGTCCGACGGTCGAGCACACACTTTTCTACGTCCGTCCGACGGTCGGGGAGACACTACCTTTAATTATTCGACATTTTCAAATCGACATTTTAATTTTCGATATTATCATTTTCGACATTTTGAATTTTCGATATTTTGATCTTCGACATTTTGTATTTTCGATATTTTGATTTTCGATAAAAAGTGTTCGATATTTTGAATTCGATATAATGAATTTCGATATTGTGAATGTCACCCAATTTTATTAATTAGATTAAAAAATCGCCGCGGCAGGCAAATATATAATAACCGTCGCAACAAACAGTATACGTATACACTTCCTACATTCAAATGACATTTGATTTGATCATCAAATGACATTTGATTTAAACATCATTATTATCATTATCATTATTAAACGTGATTTCGGATAAAATTTAATATGCACCTCGGCATTAAAGTCATTTTTTACACACACTCACTTGGTTATTTCCACATTCGTGATAAAAAATACGACTTTACTGCCTTGATACATAAATAACTATTTTCCGCCTATAAACCATAGTGCGACATCTAAACGAAAATAAAGTAACCATTCCAATTAACCGTTTTGCCGTAATTTTCACCATTAACATTGCTCCCAAAATATTAACACAAAGTATTAAAAATTCTTACACGGGAAATGTTTAAAGACTATGCTCCACACCTCAAAGTCCCACCACGTGACCACGTACGGAACGCAGTCTTTTGAAAATTTGGCATTTAAGGCTTTTCAGGTTATGTATCTGTCAAAGTATAGTCAATGAAAGAAATAATATTTATAGTGTTACCGCTTATGTTTAAGCAAAAGTTAATAAATCTTTATAGTATCACAATAACAATGGTTGGTTTAAAAATTTAGGAAATACTGCATTTAATGAAATTCCAAAGTGTAAGGTGCAATATAAGTGATATTTTTGTGCATTGGGTCTACATTTCTCCATAAAATAGTTTTAACTAAACAGCATTTATTAAAAAAATCTAACTTTTCTATTATGAAATAAGAATATCTGTATCAAAGGTAGGTTAATGTATTAGAACAAAAAATACCATCTAATTTTGTATTTTAAGGTTAGAAAAATCTATTTTGAACAAAATAAATAAGTGGATTATTTGGAAGAGTGTGTTAATATGGTCATAATAAATATAGGTATCAGTGGCGTAGCTAGCCTCGAGGGGGCCCCGTATCAAAAATCTGGTAGGGGCCCTTATAAGGGAAAAGCTGCTGGCAAAAAAATTTCTGCGTGTCACGCCTAAAGTCTATTTTGGGCAAACTAAAAAATTTTTTTAGGGTATCATTTTTTTGCATTTACTAATTTTTTAAAATTTAATAAATAATATATGTAATACATATATACAAATGAAGCACCCTACTATGTACCTATACATATTATGTATAGGTACATAGTAGGGTGCTTCATTTTAGAGCGACATTAGTCCCACCTGAAAATCTTATAACCGGTCAGAAAACAAAAATGTTGAGCTATTACAATGCTCTTAATCTTTATTTTTAAGCCGTTGCTATTCAATTTTTAAATATTTCCCTTTAAAAACCATTAAAAAACAATGTTTTATTCTTTTCTTCTTCCGCTCGTACAGTAAGAATATTTTTTTCGAATTTCGGTTCTAATATCTTTATACAGGATGAAATTATCTTTAAAAATGTCTATTTATGCAAGTCTGTAAATTGAATATGTTCTTCACAAATTGCCGTTCTATTCGAAAATCTTCTAAAATAGCAGTAAATCGTATTTGGAGACCAATGTATTGATTGTAGATAAAAAACGTAAATGACAATTTTGTAGGGAATTTTGTGCCCTACAAATTTGTTAAGAAATATTTTTCTGTATCACTTATATAAGTGTGGTTTAGCTTGTACAGATACTCTTTTACGAAACTTAAATAGTATATATAGTTACAGTCAGAAACTGAATTTTTGGAAATTTGACACTTTGGGTGGCTTTACAGGCTAAACTATAAGTGATACAGAAAAATATTTTTAAAAAATTTGTAGGGCACAAAATTCCCTACAAAATTGTCATTTACTTGTTTGATCTAAAATCAATAGTTTAGTCTCTAAATACGATTTACTACTATTTTAGAAGATTTTCGAGTGGAACGGCAATTTGTGAAGAACATATTCAACTTACAGACTTGCTTAAATAGACATTTTTTAAGATAATTTCATTCTGTATAAAGATTTTAGAACCGAAATTCGAAAAAATATTCTTACTGTACGAGCGGAAGGATAAAAGAATAAAACATTGTTTTTTAATGTTCTTTAAAGGAAAATTATTAAAAATTGAACAGCAACGGCTTTAAATAAAGATTAAGAGCTTTGTAATAGCTCAAAATTTTTGTTTGCTGACCGGTTATAAGATTTTTAGGTGGGACTTTGAAAAAAATGTCGCTCTAAAATGAAGCACCCTAATACATAGCTTTTTATGTACAGGTAAATTTTAAAATAAACCTTCTTCAACATCTTTTAAAAGGTTTCTATTTTAAAATAAAGGCAAGTGATTTGAAACAATTCACGGTGCTGTTCTGAGAGGTGATTTTTGGACTTTCTCTGAAACCTAATTTTTTTTATATTCTTGTTAATTAGGTCATAACTAAAATTTTAAGAGCAAAATAAAAAAAATTTGACGGTTTGAATTTTTTTAATTGGCTGTTTATTGAAAATATTATGCACTCTTTCAATTATCCAATTAAAACTAGCGATTTAATTTAAATATTTAAAATTTGCATAACTAAAAAAAAGGTTTTTTACAATTTTTTTTTATATATTTTACTGTTTTGTTGCAATAAACGTTCAAACTTTTAATCTAAACTTTGACGTATACATTTATGTTCCCTTAATTAATATATCCTTAAAGGTTGCCATGAAACTTAGATCTATTAAAAATTTATTTGACGTTTGAATTGTCATTTTCAGTATACGTATTCTATAATTTTTGTTTAGTTTTTTAAAGTGTTTTTTATAAACAAAAATGAAAAATTGTAGTAAAAGTTACGAAGAAATTCATGAAATTTAACCAAGGACCGGTTTATTCATCTTTAGTAAAGTTTATCGGCAATATCTAGTATCCAAAGAAATTATTCGTCAAATAAATCAAAAATGAATAAATCGGCTCTAAATAAAATGTGGCACCCTTAGAATTATTGTTTAATAAATGTATACTATACATTTAACCTTAAATTAAAACTTTAAACATGTATTACAACAAAACAGTAAAAGATATAAAAAAATGTATAGAAGTTTTTTTAGGAAATTAACTAATCTTTAATCTGATTTAAAAAGTTATGATAATATTTAAATAAAATCGCAAGTTTTAATTGGAGAATTGAAAGTGTGCATACATATTTTTAATAAACATCCAATTAAAACAAAATTAACCGTCAAATTTTTTTTATTTTGCTCTTAAAAAAAGTTATGACCTAATTAACAAGAATATAAAAAAAAATTAGGTTTCACAGAAAGTCCAAAAATCACCTCTCAGAACAGCACCGTGAATTGTAACGCTAATAATTATTTTTAATTTGCTATTAATATAACCTATGATATTAACACGCAAAGCAGACTCAGTATGCCGCTGCGCAGAGCACAGAACAATATGCGCAGACTGCGCCGCACAGCGGAAAGGTGCGGACAGAAACAATTCGTATGAGTTGGCTTTGTTGGAACAGGAGGGTATTCAGGAAAATTTTAATGGAATAAATGGAAGTATAAACAATTAAATGATATTATTTTTTTATGTATTTATTTAATTTCATGCCTCAATTTTTTTTAACATGTGGGTACTTTTTAACATGTGGGTATACCCACATGTTAAAAAGTATACCTAATATGTTTTTTGCTTACACACGTCGAAGCCAATCGGGGGCCCCCCCTAGCCGGGGGCCCCGTATCACTGATACGGCTGATACAGCGGTAGCTACGCCCCTGATAGGTATACTAAATAATTGTTGAATATGGTTCAAATTAAATTGAAACTTTTATACTTCTAATGAGAAAACTTGTGCATACCTCTCGGCATACCTACTTTAAGTTAGATTATAAAAAAACAAACAATTTTTAGAGAAACTTGCAATGTGAAAATATTTAATACACCCATGACATGTGATTTCTTAAAATTTTTAAAGTTATAATGATTTTTCGATGTTGATCAAGTTCAGTCGAAGCTCTTTAACTATTTGTATTGACAAAACTTTATGTAGGTACACTTTAAGCTGGATAAGAAAAACTACCACATATATTAACCTACCTTTAATACAGATATTCTTATTCCATAGCAGAGAAGCTAGATTTTTTTTAATAAATGCTGTTTAGTTAAAATTATTGTATGGCGAAAACCAGATATTTCGACCAAATGCACAAAAATATTACTTATTTGGCACCATACACTTTATAATTTCATTAAATGCAGTATTTATATTCTTAATTTCCTAAACCATCCATTGTTATTGTAATGTTATAAAGATTTAAACATTTTTAACGACTAAACATAATATTATTTCTTGACGGATACATAACCTGAAAAGCCTTAAATGCCTTTGAGGTGTGGAGCATAGTACAAAAAGTGACAGTTATATTTATTGAAATTCCCGTTAGAATTTCTTACTTGGGAATTTACCGGGGTTAAAATCTCAATTTTTTTGTGGAAATCAAAATTTATCCTTTTGAAAATAGACTAAAAATCGATATAGAAGCAGTTTTTCATAGTAAAAGAGAAGAGAATGTTTTATGGGCACTGTACGCAAAATTTTTAACGCTTTATAAGTTAAAGAAAGGTGCTTTATTTTAAAGATTGTATGACATTTGACTGTCAACTAACTTCAGCACGTGACTAAAGCGCCATAAAGCCACAGCTTGTCAATGTTATTTAAAAGGTCACTTAGTGTCATGGAAACATGAATGAATGTAGGCGCGAAAAAGCGCATTTTCATATGTATATTTCATATATATATTTTTAATATCTTACTTTTATATCAACGAAAACATCACTTTTTGAGGCAAAAATATAAGTAGGCAGATCCATTCCTTTAACATTATATTTCGGAGGTGAGGCACTATTATATTTTTTTAAATTCTTCTTAGCACCATAGTCGAACTGTCTAAATGACTCTAAAATAGTTTGATTTAAATAAAATTATGTAAATAATAATTATTGTTTTTATCATCACTGCTGTTAAAACTTTGAGCAAAGTGTGCAATTTGTTTAACGGATGAACCGGCTGGTAGAGTTCCAAAGAATTCTAATACTTGTTGCTAGAAATTATAATTTTATTTTTATGATTAGTTATTTTTCAATATTGCTAAATAAATTACCCAATCAGTTACTTCAGATTCTCCGTTGAATGAGTTCCATAACGTATGGACCGCATCAGGAAACAAATCTTTAAATGCATAAATGAAATATCTTAAATCATTGTAATTTGTGTAGAATAGGTTTTCTCCAGAGTTAACTAAGGTAAATCCTTCCTGAAAATACAATTCTTCAAATTTTATTTTTACTCATTTAAGTCTATTCTTCTATAAAATTCTGAACAAAATGTCAGGCTAACTTAAAAAGTTAATATCTTTTTTATTTTAAATGTAACACCCGGTATGTTTTACTAAATCAAATAGTAAATTAAAAACCTTGACCCTGTATTTATAAATATGTTTTTTTTCAAGCGGCCATGATATACAACCTTATATGCCTGTATAGAGATAGTTGAAGTGCGTCTTTTTCATTAGCGGCAGACAAAAAACTCAAAAAAGCCTAGGGATAGAAGTAAATCCATAGGTGTCTCAATAGACGTCAAATAATAAAATTAATTTAGCATTTCATACAAAGCAATCACGATTTATTAATTACATTAATTATAATCGCACGGAACATTTTGACAGAGCAGTGTTTATTTTTAGTTTAGGATATTTATCGGCATTGTAAGTAAGGGTTATAAGTTTTTTTAGTTTTTAACAATAATTTATAATGCTTTTAGCCAAAATTTTATACCACATAAGTTATGAGTAAATAAAATAATTCTATTACTTATCCTATTTATATTACGCCCTTGAAAAAAAAATTGTATATGTTATTTGGAGTAGAAGCTCTTTTTGTGCTTCGTACAGTTGCCTGCCTCAGCTACGCTTCGACCGCCAATCTCTGTACTCACCACAAAAAGAGTCACTTCTACTCCTTATGACATAATCTACTATTTTTCGTTATATTTTGTTCCAAATATTATAGACCACCTGATACTTTGTTAACATTTCATAGACCTTACATAATATGACTTAAAATTGATTAATAAGTCCTTTAAATAAGGGTGCTTGAAATGATTTAGATAAACTGCCGGAGCCATAGCAATAACTTTGGATAGTTTTTTCTTATACTCAGGTCTTTCGCTGGCCATGACAAAAACAACCGTTCCGCCCTGGGAATGACCTATATACGTCACTTGTTGAAATCCTGATTTTTCCATCACCTTGTCAACTATGGCTGGCAAGTCGTATTTTCCGATTTCATGCCAACTAAAAAATAAAATTTATAATTTTACATTTTTTTATATTATAACAGTCAAGTCTTTAATATATTATATTATCATATTAAACCAACTTTTGTCACGTCATATAAACATTCACTATTTTCCAGAAACTCTGTATTGGTATTGTAGAATGAGTTTATAGCCAAAGAGGTAGAACGTTTTGCGCGAAAACCAATTTGATTTTTTGTTATCGTATTATTTTTATTTAAAAAAGTTTCCAGACGTTTTAAAAAGCAGTATCCAAAAATTTTCGATAATGTAGAGGACATTGAAATAGGTCTATAATTATCCACCAATTGTTTGTCAGATTTTTTAAAAATTGGAACAACTTTATTGGTTTTATTCTTTTCAGAACAGCCTGTTTGGAATGACAAATTTACCAAGTACACCAAAGGCTCTACAATTTCACTTGTTATATCTTTTAAAACAAAAGTAGGGATTAGTTTTTCAACAAATAGCTTAAGAAAAACCACTTAATATTATTATAATTGTAAAACCCTGTATGATTTAACACAATCAAATAGAACATTAAAGAATCTTTCGATTTGTATTATAAAAACTCTTTCCTAAACTTAAAATTTCAGAGACATTTAACAATTTCCAATATTTTCAATACTATTTTGTATCAACAAACCTGTGAAATTTTACGTGAGTTAATGTGACAGTATCCATGGTTACCACCAAATCTGTCATTGTTTAAAATTAATTAAAATATTTGATTGAAAAATTTATAACTCAAAAAATTATTAGTTATTAGTGGCTGCTTTTTCACTTGTACCATGGTTAACCATGGAATACCATGGTATCCCAAAATTTAACAGCCAATTATTATGTAAAATTGTCCCCTGAATCCGAAAATACCGTCAAAAATTATGAAAGTGGAGCAGTTTTTGAGATATAGTCAATTCCATATTAATTGGAAAATTGACTATATCTCAAAAACTGTTCTACTTTTTAAGTTTTGATGGTATTTTCGGATTCAGAGGACAATTTTACATAAGAATTAAGTCCTAAATTTTGGGGGTACCATGGTATCACATGGTTAACCATGGTACAAGTCATTTTTGACTAATTCATTTTTAGAGAGTATAGCCATTTTACTCAGAATTTTATGTAGAATTAAAAAATATAAAAATATATGAGGTGTCACAAGGTTTAAGACATTTTCGGTAAAACAAAATAATTTAGAAAAATAGTCCAAATCGAATAATTTACTAAATCGATGTCTTTCGCGATTCCCTACAAACTTCTAACGGACTACGTACGTGAAACACCCTGTATATTAAACGTCATTTATGTGTTATGCTAATGCTAATAATACAACAATATTTGTATAAAAATAACAAAATATACTAAACTAAACATTTATGAATACTGCTACTGCTAATTCAAAACTGATCCTGGCCACAGAAACATCATTTGCATAAAAAAGTTAATATATCAAATAAAAGTCAATACTTTAACGTGTTATACTCAAATTTAGAAAACAAAGTTGCTTCTTCGATTATTTACCCTTTAAAAATTGTTAAATTTTAAATAAAATTATCACCAGCGCCCCCTGTACGTTACAATCTAAACAAAATTTTTTCATGGAAGAATTTTCATTAGTAAGATCTACATTGAAGTGAAGAAAAAAATAAAAAATAAAAACAAAGTTTTTTTTCTGAAAAAAGTACTGAATTTAGATGTAGATGTAAAAAAGTTTCAATCGATTTCTTGAACCCTTGCAAATCGACCTTTCGCGAAACCATAGAGTTATTGTATCATTTTTCACCAAATTTGACAAAAATTGAAAGCTGACCTTATTGGATTTTCTTAAAACTTTCAGGGTGTGAAGGCCAATGCTTAGGTTGAACAAAAACCACAATATTTTTTTTTATTTAAACACCCTGAGGAATTAAGCAGGGCCATATTGACCGGTTTGCATAAAAAATTACCAAATCGGTGTCTAAGAAAACCATAACTAAGTTGTTTATTAATATTTTGTATCGCGTAATATTTTGTTTTAACCATAAAACAATGTAATTTTTAAATATATTCCTAAAATTATACAAATGTTTTTACAAATGCAGCTTTTTTAGTGCTAAATATACGGTTCTTTTAACTGAAAATGTCAATTTGGTGTATATTTTTATTTAAAGTAATTATAAATATTGATAAAATATAAAATGCAAAGTTATAAAAAAGTATCCAAATTGCAGGAAATACCATCATAATTATGAAAATTTCCCATTTTTGGAGAAAAAAAATGCATTTTTTCGTCCGGAGGAACTGAACGAAAATTCTTCAAAATTTAACAGAATGTTCTCCTCAATATAAATTAAAAACTTTAACAAAAAAAATTGTGTGTATTTGCCTTGCTAGGAAGATACAACGGTTTAAAATACCATAAATTGTATAGAATATGGAATTATTTTCATGGTCTTTTTTATCAAGACGGCTTTGATAAAAAAATGCTATTTAAAGGTGTTTGAAAAAGAAATTTAAAATATTAAAAATTAGGCTACATAAACATTAAATAATTATTTTATAATTATAATAAACAAAATAACGCAAATAGTTGTCGCGGCGAATACATTACAATTATTGTTATTTTCTTTTACGTATATAATCCAAGGAACTGCTAGGTTAACCGTATGTCGAGAAATCGGTTTTTGATATTCGACATTGATGACGCAGTTTAAAACATTTGCCGCGATGACTTTACATAATAATTAATATAAAATAAAACGCACAATATTTGTATTGTTATCTTAAGGTACAAAATGATTACAAATGATGGATCGCCTATGATATTTTTATTACTTATTGCAACCAATCAGATTCACTTATTTAATTTTTGTGTAATTTTCCACAATTCTGAGATTTTCTGCAGTTTAATCTTAAAGGAGCCTCTATAAAACAGTTATTAAATTTATTTGAAATAAGTTGAGGATCCTCAATTTTATTATCATTTATTGTAATATTTTTGTGTAATTTTCCACAATTCTGAGATTTTCTGCAGTTTTTGTAGGGTTTTCCGAGTTAAATGTTTTATTTTGATAATAGTTTTTTTTGCCCTTGATAATATCAAGTTGATATCAGAAGAGAATGCTTAGTTTTTAAGGTTTTATAATAGTTTGTTAAGTCTGCATGTATGCTTTTAATTTAAAAAAAAATTTCAAATTACTACTAGATTTTTTTGATTTCGGAAGTTACCCAGCTTTTATTGCAATTTTTGTTGCATAAGTGCAAACTTCTTCTTGGTAAAATAGTAAATACTATATTCAAGTCGATCTTGTCTAAAAAATTGACTTTTTTTCGATATTTTAGCCGATTGCACTTAAAAACTTATTGACTAATTGGGCATTTATAAAGTTACATTTGTTGTCAATGATTGATGTCAACTAGGTTTAATTTGACATCTTTTGCAATACAACTGACCATTTTAAACTCGATATATGACCCGAAAAAAAAAAGAAATGTTTTTATTTGAAAAACCCTGCCATGAAAGAAAATATTGTAATTTTCGAGTTTGGTAGGCCAAAATACACATTACATTTTGGCCTTAAACCGGTGTTATTTACCTAAAATCCCAGAAGCTTGGGTTACCATCGGGATCTAACGTTTTGTGTTTTCTAGAGTGCGTGGTGCCTCTGCAATTTGGCAGCCAGACGTCGTAACCAGCTTCAGCTGCCTTAAACGCTAAGGATCTAGTTGGGCCAAGCATCACATACGACTCCGCCCCGGCAAGTACACCGTGCATCAAAATAATCGGCGGTTTCTTCGATGCTTTTTTAAATTTTTTTCCATGTGGGATCCTGAATATTTTAAGAATATATCCATCTTCAGTTTCAACCATGTAGGTTTCTATGGGGTAACCAAAAGACGTAACATACTCAACCTAACCAAAAAACTTTAGAAATGCGTAAATATGTTACAAAAATGTTACCATATCTGGTTTTGAAAATGGCTCGCTTTTATCACTGGCAACATTTTTCACCAAAACTAATATCACAATAAAGTTGACTAAATTTTTAAGGGACACCATTTTAATTGCTCGACACCTGACTGAATGGGAGTAAGAAGATTCGGCCTTTGTATTTAAAGTAAAAATCCTTGGCTTCTAAAGAGAACAAATACTTTTTTTTAAACAATCCGGTTAATTTCATAAATAATGATCCTTGATTCGATTTTCTATTTGTCCACAATAATACGCTAATGAAATAAAAAACCATGTTTGTCATTTAATGTTTGGTTTATTTTTATCACTGTTTAATATATTTATAATTTTATTGTTAAACAAGGTATCAGCATTTCTGGCTAAAATAAAGTCAAGATGGGTGAATTTTTTCACAGGGACCACATAGTATTCCTTCACGTTTGGTAATTTATTCACTAGAATCTGTAAATCCTACAAAAAAAAGAAACAAATTATTCTTAAACTAGTACATAATTTAAGTGGCACTGGTGAATGTGTAGGGTAAATACAAAAAGTGACTGGACTACAGATAAAAATAAAAAACTAAATTTGGAGGTGTCATTTTACTAACGTTTAAAAAATATTTATTCTTTAATAGTATATTATGTATCAAGTTTGATAAACGCCATTTTATACACGAATTTAATTTAGGCACTATACTTTTTCTACGACGAATACTTATTATTATCTTAAAATGATTTAAATAAAAAAATTGTATAGAGCGCCATCTATGAAACAATAGGGGAATCTGAGTGTCACCGTCAAATGTCACATTTTTATATTTTATAAACACAGATTATAAAGGTTATAAATCGAAATGTATTTCTTGAAAATTGACAGTTTTTCACAGTGAAAGTAAAGAAAATGTTTAAGTTATAGTTTACTGCCGGCGAAATTAAAAGGTCAGTACAATGTTCATATAAACTTTTCAAATATTGGCGTTGAGAAACTATTTAATACTTTTGTATTTTTATATTGAGATATTAAAATAATTTTCTCATTTAGTATTATCTTACAAGAAAGGCACTTTATTTTAACGATTGTATGATATTTGACAACTGTCAACTAACTTCAGCCCGTGACTAAAGCACCATAAAGCCATAACTTGTCAATATGTATTTAAAAGGTCACTTAGTGTCATGGAAACATGTACGATAAAGGGCGTTTTAAAGGGGGGGGGGGTAAAAAAAATATGTTTACCTCTAAATTAGCAAATACGTCGTTTTGTCCACCAAAAATATATGAGGGTACGTCCATATTCTTCAGTTTGTATAATGGAGGAATGGTACTATTATATCTTACCAAGTTTTCCTTTGGACCATAGTCAAAAAATCTAAATGATCCTAAAAATTAAAAAAAAATATGTTTTTAAAATTTAGTATGACTTATATAGGTTTCCACAAAATATTTTAAAATTTATGGTTTATAATTAAAAATATTGATATTAGTAATGTTTTTTCGACTAATTTTATTATTTATGTAATTTTTGATTTAAAAACAACTATTTAATAGTTACACACAGAGAAAAGTCCGTTTGGAAAACATAGCAATTTTCTATAAATGTGCTACGTTATCCAAGATAGTTGCAATTTGTCTAATTAGTTTCTTCAAGTCAATTTTCTATAATTTGCTGGAAACAGTAAGATTTTATATTTAATCATTTGCACAATATTGTCAAGAAAAGAGTTGAAATCTGTTGTTAAAAATATTTCAAAAATAAATGTTGTTACTCTTTTGTATAATTTTTTAAATAATTTGTATAAATATAGTATAACTTTGAGTTAGAATATAAATTTTACAATATTGGACAATTTGTTCGGGTGTGAAGCATCACACCACCTAAGATAACCAATAAAATTATTTCCCGCTTGAAATAAGACGCCGGCCGGTCGCTCAACTTCAATCTGCATCTTCAGTTTGCAGTTTTAGTTATATTAGATTAAAATATGTGTAAATGTCAAATAAATTATGTTAAGTTTTTAATATAATAAGTTTACTACAATTATTTGCTACCATTTAGCACAAATTGCTCCTGTAACCTTTTTAGCACTAATTTGTTACAATAATGAAACCAAATCCACAAATTTTTATCTGTGTATGTTTTATCGAATTTATTTAATTTGGCTGATATACACACTGTATAAATTTAAATTGTTAAAATGCTTTATACTTAATTTGTATGTTTGTGCGTAATGCATAATCTGTTTATTAGCTGCTCCTGCAGGGATGGTCCCAGCAAATTTGGTAAATTGTTTCTGAAAATTTTAAAATATATTTTTTTTTTCGGGCTTTATATGTTTTACATACCCAATTAATTTCTTCAGATTCCCCCAAAAGTCTAAAGAAAAATCCTTTTAAAAGTTCAGGATATCTTTGCCCAAGTGCATAAATAAATAGCCTCATATCGTTGTAATCAGCCCACAGGAGTTTTTCCCTTTGGTTTACTAACAATTTAACATCCTAAAATGAAAAAAAAAATAATAAATATTTTAGATCGCTTAATTAAAATATAAAAGTAAAAATCCTGGTAAAATTTTTTCTTTGAAATTTTGTGCATTTTAGCACTAGGAGTAGTGTGTAATTTCAATCGCAAATAACTTTTTTATTTGATTTCGGATTTAAACAAATATTAAAGAATATTGTGGGTACATTAATGGAGAATCGCTCACATTTTAAAAATTACTAAAAAATTTACGCACGTTTATAATATACAGGTTTAAACAAAAAGATGTTTTTTACCATAAGTTTAAGACACTCTGTAGTTGTTCTAAATTAAGTTTTAATTATCAAGTTACATCTATTTTTAACAGTTTTGTTTTTGGTTCACCTTGATATATTTATTTTTGTGGAAAATATGATTTTTTTTAAAAAACATTGCAATTTCTAATATTTTTCCTGTATGAAGAACTAAGGTTGCTATGGTCCTTCCATAGCCTATGGAGGATGACAGTGACAGTTTTGTTAAATCATCCCATACTTAGACATGTCATGTACAGCTTTCAAAAGGTATCACATTTTTTTTTAATTAAGGTGTTAATTTTGAGGTGTCTTCTTACTTTTAAAAATGTCTCCGACTGATGTTGCCCTTTGTACTTTACTTCTTGTGACGTTTAAAACACTTGCCACGTAATACTGTGACCGTCCATCCTGGATTAAATTAATGGCTTTGGCAACATCAGTCGGAGCCATATCCATTTTTTAAAGTAAGAAGACACCTCAAAATTTAAACATTAATTTGCAAAAAACAATTTGATAGCTTTTGAAAGCCGTGTATGACATGTCCAAGTATGGGATGATTCAACAAAACTGTCACTGTTATTCTCCATAGCCTATGGATGACCATAGCAACCTTAGTTCTTCATACAGAAAAATATTGGAAATTGCAATGTTTTTATAAAAAATCCATATTTTCCACAAAAATAAATATATCGAGGTGAACCAAAAACAAAACTGTTAAGAATAGATGTGACTTGATAAATAAAACTTAATTTAGAACAATATACGGTTTTGCCACTCTACAGAGTGTCTTAAACTTATGGTAAAAAACATTTTTTTGATTAAACCTGTATATTATAAACGTACTTCAATTTTTTAGTAATTTTTTAAAATGTGAGCGATTGTCTATTAGTTTATCTACAATATTCTTTAATATTAGTTTAAATCCGACATGAAATAAAAAAGTTATTTGCGATTGAAATTCATCGAAAATTTCTGTGGATCGATTAATTTGCCTGTGAGTGTATTATAAATTTGTAAACCTACTTAAAAATAGTTTTTTGACAGGGTTAAATGTATACTCAGTAAATATTACTCACATAAACACTTTTAGCATGTTCCATCAACTCCTTTAGCCAGGGATGTGTTAGATGATTGAATAAAACCACAGGGGACAGTCCTATGTATTTGGAGATTTTTGCTTTGTATTCCGGTCTCTCGCTGGCCATCACCAACATCACCGTCCCACCCTGGGAATGGCCTACGTAGGGTATTTTATCTTGGCCCGTTTTTTCCACTATCAAGTCTATGACGCGGGGTATATCGTATTTGCCAATTTCATGCCAACTACACTCAAAAAAATGTACATGCATTGACAATAAAACTAATTTTGTGAGCGAAGCCCAAAAAGGCACTTCTTGGCCAAATGGCATACAACATTTTATCTTTAAAGCACTTTATATAGGTCAATTTAATTCAACATCAAAGCGGCCTAACCTCACTTTTTTAGAATTTCATTTATTTATTAGCTAAAAATTACATTAAATGTACAATAATTATTATTGCTTTTAGAAGCAGTAATAGTTTGACAATACCTAGCAACATGATTTAAGTAGAAATGGATTTTTGCTATTACATTGAATTCAATTAATTGTTTAAAAAATAGGTAGGTATCTAATTTCAATTTGTTTGGATTTTTATTTAAAAAATAGGTAGTTTGGAATGTTTAGGCTGTGTTTAACATTTAATTTCACTGAAAACTTAAAGCAAATTAAAACTTAAAGATAATTTAAATCGTAGAAAAAGAATCGTGCGTTTTCTTGGTTGCCTAACCTCACTTTTTGTTTTAGTATTCATATTTAATTTTACAATAATTTAAAGAAAAATATTAAACATTAACAGTAAAACAAACAAATTAGTGCTTATTATAAATAAATTAAACCAGTTTAGTACGTTAATTTCTTAGAAAAGGATTAATTTGTCAAAACAATACCCCTAGCGAGAAAAAATCGAACTAATTACTTGCCTCATAAAAATTTTTATCGGCCTAGGCCATAACAAGATATTTCTTTATCGAATGTTGACAACAATTGAGTTTAAATTATAGACCGCGTGGAGATAAATAATATTATTTAACTTAAATTTAAAATTGCAATGGCTATAAAAAAATATACCACCTAAGGTTCCTTTTTTATTAAATTTGTAGTGTCTTATTGGGATTATTTTTATTTACAGAAAAAACTTTTTTTACTGTTAATAAAATTCTCATTTACCATAATAAAGCAGCAATGTTCATCCAACAAAGTAATAGTTGTTATCATATTGTTATGGCAATAATAAATACTTTATGTTTATATTAAATCTTTGTCGAACTTAAAATGTTTTTGTTTAATCTATAGTTGTCTGCGAATTGCGCTTACATAAAGTAATGCGAAGTTGTTATAGTAACATTTGTTTATTTTACTATGGCATATTTGTCTTTTTTAAATTACTATAGTTGTAATTCAAATTAATTTTATTTCAGTTAGAAAATCTTTGTTAATAGCTTACGTTAAGAACAATAACAAAAATATTTTATTGCTATTAAAAGATTTTTTTAATATATACTATTGTTTTGCAATGGTAACAAAATTTTTGTTATTTTCCTTAAAAAGAGGGGGAAAGGGCCAGCGCTCTCCTTGGTGAGCATAACTTTATAATCCACAGTCTGTGTTATAATCTTATTGATTTCACTTGTGCGAGTGAAGTGTGGTAAAATCTAGCATGATAAATATATCAAAAAGGTCACTAAGAAAATTAAAATTTCGACGTTTTCTAAAAGAAATATTTAAGGTATATTCTATAAACGAAGCAGACCCAACAGTAGGTTGAAAATGTGACCATTGTTGCAATGAAAATAGTTTATTGAATTTACAATTAATTTGTTGTTAAATTTACATACATTTTATTAATATTATAAAAAAAGTTTTATTTTAAACGAAAAGGGATTTGTAAAATTTACCAAATTTATATATATAAATAATACTATGGCACGCCGTTTTACTTTTTAATGACATCAAAAAATTTATTAAAAACAAAAATTATCAAAATTAAAAATTGCCTAGAAAATATAAACGTTCATAAAAATTACTAAATTAAGTTTAATTATAAATTAAAATCTACTAATTTATTTTTTGGTGTATCAGATAAATTTCCATATATACATCGTTCTGGTGTGATCTATATTTTTAAGCCTCAGTTTTTGTTGTATGAATATTTTTTTTCTATTTAAAAAAGGTGCTTATATGTAAATAATAATATTTAATTTATTAATTTAAAATTAAGTTAAAGTAGAATATTTATTTTGGAATAAAAATTAGACACGATTTAAATCTGTAAGCGCAAGGCGAATTTTCTCGATGAAAAATTCGATGAATTAAAATGTTGTTTAACACTCGTAAACAGAACGCATAGTGCGGTTGTGTTACGTACTACTGCCTCCAAGCGAAACCACATAACGTCGAAGTACATAAGCTCGAAAATAAATTAGGCAACAGTGCAGTCCAAAATTTTCAGTGCTATCAATAATGTATATCGACATGATTATGATTATTAAATTATGTAAGGGGTGCATTTCAACAAAACTGCCCTGCTGGCTAACCTCACTTTATACGAAATAATTTAGATATGGATTTCAGACTCTTCTAATAGACAATTTAATTGTGGTTCATTATTTGGTTAGTTGTTTATGCAATAGGATTTCTCTCAGAAGAAGATATTTATAAACTTAATGAACTAAAAGAGCACTTTTGTAATTAATGGTGGATTGAAAATATTGTATTGTTTTTTATCTTTTAGTCAATAAAAACCAATATTTTAGTAAAAAAGATTTTCTTTATTTTTATTTCAAAAAATTAATTAATAAATTAGATAGGAAATTAAGGAAAGCAAAACAGGTAATTAAATATAATTGCAGCACTGAATTTGAATGCACCGTTGCCTAATTTATTTACGAGCTCATGTACCTTCGACGTTAAGTGATTTCGCTTGGTGGCAGTAGTACGTAACAAAACCGTACTATGCACTAGCGCCAAATTAAAATTCTGTTTACGAGTGATAACCAATATTTTAATTCATCGAATTTTTCAGTCAGAAAATTGGAGGTACATAATATTTAAATAAAAATAAGGAATTATTATTCTGTCACATACAAGTAGCATTGAATTTATTATCTAAAAAAATAATCTGATTAAAAGAAATATGGCAGAAAGGTACTTAAATGAAAATTCGTATTGCTAGATTTAAATAACATAATAATTAATAATAAAAATAAAATTGTATTCAATTCTTCTTAGTCAAATAAAATTTGAAGTAATATTAAAAACATTTAAATTTTTAAACAAATATTTCGTGCAAAATATTTGTGTGTGGAATAAGAAACTTTATCACTTTAATTTCTAACAGGTAAATTGATTTTTATGTCGACGAGTAATAATAGAAAATAATTGCGACATAATGATAATTTCAGTATTAATTTTTCTTAAATAAATGTCGCGCACCTTGAATTAACTGGCTAAGAAATTCGATGAATTAAAATTTTGGTTCAATTTGACTGCGTGTTTCTCAAGTAGCGCCTTATTAAAATTATCTCAACCCAAATTTTAATTCAACGAATTTTTTAGTCAGAAAATACGCCATTCAGTTCCAGAATTAAAATTACTTTAATTCTTATTCTGTGCTTAAAATTGTGTACTTAATATACCAAGACATCATAAAATTTTTACTTTAAAATGTTCAGACAATTTTTAAAAACGCAACTTGAATTAATATTTAGCTTTAATAAACATGACATTAAAAAGTAAGTACTATGAGGGTTTCATTAATACTACAAAACGTTTTTATAAACGGTACAGAACTGTTTTTGGACAAATAATAATAACTATATTTATCAATGCGTGTCTGCAAATTTTTGTACATAACGTAAATTTACTTTATAATTAATGCAAATGCTATTACTGAAATCATAGGATTAAAAAGACGGGATTTGTCTTACCTAAAGTCCCAAAAAATTTGATCGCTCTCGGGATTAAGAGTGACATGTCTTCGGGAATGCGTGTTTCCCCTCGCATTGGGCAACCAAACATCGTAACCAGCTTCGGCGGCCATGAAGCTAAGAGATTTTTTCTCTCCCAGATAAACGAAGTTTTCCGAACACCCCATTAGCCCGTGCATTAGTATGACCGGCGGCCTTTTCGACCTTTCTTTGCTGTACTTTCCGAACGGGATCCTGTGGATTTTTAGGATGTATCCGTCTTCGGTAGTTACGTCGTATTCTTCGATCGGGTATCCCTTGGATTTGACGTATTCGACCTAGCAGGGAAATGTAATGTACACAGTAAAAAATTTTGAGTAAAATTTTACTCAAAATTAAATCAAAATGTATTTAATCTAGGTCCACACCAAATTGATTAATTTTTTTAACTCAGTGTGTTTTAGTAAACTATTTTCTTTTTGAGTGAATATGTTCATCAAATTACGTACTAAAGTCCTACAAATTTTGAGTAAATTCTAGTCATATTTGAGTAAAATTGTAATACATTTTGATTTAAATATACTAGTCTTAAACATTTTTAGTAAATTTTAATCAACTTTTGAGTGAATTCTAGTCAAATTTGAGTAACATTTTAATATATTTTGATTTAAAACCTAATTAAATATAAATAAATTTTTAGTTAAATTTACTTAAAATGGTGTTCTTTCAACTTTAAAAAGTGTTACAATTACTCAGCAATTGATTAAATTAAAGTGGTTATAGGGGTTATAGCCAGGTTGAATAAAAAAAAATTAGAGAAAATAAATTTTATTTGAAACTCCATGGGAACAAATGAACAAAACAATGTATAAACTATATTTATAAATAATAAAACAACGGAGTAGTTAATCCTAACTAGGGGATAAAAAATTGGCCCTTAGACTAAAAAATGAACAAAACATTATAAAAAAAACACATTTTGGTATGACAAAGTATTCATATACTCAGCAATTAAAAAGGGTTTGTCGGAGAGTCCAAATTTTGTTATTATATCGTTAAAAGGAACGTTTGTCTGAAAAAAAAATTGGTTATTATCTGATATTACCAAAAAACTGTAGTATATACTATAAAATAACGCATAAATGGCTTTAAAACATTGTAAAAGTACCACTTTTTTAAAGTAAGTTTTACATTTATTATTGTTAAATATACAAATTATGTTGTAAATAATATATTTAATTAAAGTTTAAAAAAAATACCTTAAACTTTTGTAAATAAAAGAATATTTAAATATATTAACAAAAGATGTGTTTGACACTTTTATTAAAGTTAAAAATGCCATTTCAGCAAGAATTTTAAGTCCAGTTAACAACAAAAAAATTGGCACTATTGATATATAGTGTAATGTTATTGCTAATTTGGCATTCTATTTTTTAATGTGTACCTATGTAGGCAAAATAGTGTTATTATTGTATTGATAGAATAATAAATAACTTCTAAGGACTGCGTTGAGACTAATAATATTAATATTATATTATGTTAGAAGATAAAAATTAAATACAAAATTGCAACTTTTTAATCAAATTTCAATCAAAGTATAGAGTAATTTTTACTTGATATTGGGTAAATGAAGACGCCGGTTATTGTAGAAAAATTTTAGGATTTAACATTCATTATTATTTTTATAAATAAAGCCATCATAATAAGGATTACACCTACCTACTCAAATTCCCAAAATTAAGTAGTATCTAGTTATGTACGCTGGGGTTGGGGTACTTACCAAATATCAAAAAATTATATGAGATGTCCTCTTTTGCCCACTTTTTCAAGCACAAACACAAATTTATTTTAACTATAGTTATATGTTTCTTATAAATTACCACAACGAATTACACAATTATTGCCAGTTTAACCTGTTGAACACCATGCATGCAGTGCAGCCAACATAAGCGCGCGAAATACAGTTTTACTTCACGTAGAGTAAATAATTATTGCATACTCAAAAATGATTTAGGTTAAATGCAAAATGAGTAAATCGATTAATTTTAATGCACTATTTAGTTAATTTTTAATAATTACCAAATATTGAGCATAATTTCCAAAAAACTTACTCAAAAAAATAACTCTAACTTGTTTACTCAATTTCTTTCGCACTTTACTCTTTACGATTTTTTACTGTGTATTTGTTTTATACACGGAAAAAATAAATCAGTAACCATTAATGAGCAGAACAATATTCCACAAATCATACAATTTCTAATAAAACCTTACAGGTTACTGACTGACTTAAAAGAAGACGATTAGATTAGATGTTAAGAAACGTTAGAAGTAATTTCTAATTAAGATTAGAAGTCTTGTTCTTTACATTATCAAGAAATAAACAGTATTACTTATTAGTTTTTCAGTGTGTCTGAAATCAAATAATTATCGTTGTTTAATGTTAATCTTTTAAAATTTCCGAAACAGTTAAAGATAGGTATAGGACATAAAATATGTCCTGAAGATTCCAAAAATTGAATAATATACACTTTATTATTTTTGCTTTAGTGCTAGTTTTTTTGTTTTTATTTGAAAATGGTGCATTTTATGGATGTTCAACAAGAGTACCTTTTTATGTAGCTATTTTTGTAGTGTTTCACAAAATCAAAATAAATTTGCCGCCGTTATTATCCACACAAAGTTGACAGCAGCGTGGAAAATGATGATAAGTCGATCTTGCTATCATATCCGGATGAATAAGTTTAAAAGTTTGCTTAATACACAGTAAAAAAAATCAACTCTAAGCAACACTAATTAGAGTTCACACAGGTCCACACTAAATAGTGTTGTTTTATAACACTACAATTAGAGTTAATTTGTAGTGTAATTTTCCCCAAGTAAGCAAGTATGATTTAACACTAAGTGTAAGTAATTTTACACTGTATTGTTAATTTACCTAAAATCGTGTACTTCTACACTTCCTAGGTAAAATCCCACTTTTGTTCAGTGTAAATTAACACTACTTTGGAAAAGTTATAATTTTAGAAAGGTAAGAGAAACATTTATTTGGAACAAAAATCTATGACAATTATCAAAATTGGTGCTTTTTAAAATATAATTTTATATTTGAGTCGTATGGCTGGCTTAAGCAAAATGGTTCCTTAAAACGTAAAAGTTTTAGATCAATGCAATGTTTTACTGGCTGTCAACTTGTAAGCAATGAATTATCTTGAGAATTCGTCAGTAATCCATTTTTCTGTTATAAAAAATGGGTGATCCCATTGGTAGAGAGGCGTTAAAATCTAAATGAACAAAAATGCCACACTTCCACAACGCGGTATCTCCGGATATGCACTGCGTAGGTAGATAGGTACCAACCAAACATTTTAAAACGCATTTCGGTTATTACCAGTTTTTTCAGTCTATTTTGCCACTATTGGTGTAATTTAACTTTAATTGTGATACAATGTACACTTGTAGTGTAAAGAAAAAAGAGCTCTTAGTAACATCAAAACAGACAAAGAAATTGGCATGCACTGTAGTGTACATTTTGTCACTATTTAACACATTAAGGGGTAATAAACACTCGCATTAAGTTTTTCTACCTTTTGATTTACTTTAATAATAAATAGTGTGAATGTACCAAGGAATAATGTTCATATTCTTTAAATGTGTTTAATAAAGTTAATAAGCACTAAATGTTACCTAGTGTATTTTGTAGTGTAACTTTTACACTTATAAATCAACTCTAATATTTTTACCCCTACACTAAAAAATTTACACGGACAAAATTTTTTACTGTGTAGGTATTACATAATATTCTGAGATAGAGGAAAAACTTTCTTGTTTTGGAGTGTACTATCATCCCCCCAAAGGTTGACAATTTATTAGGTGACACCCTGTATATATCATTCCACTTTTGGATTTAAATCATTGGCTAAAGAATTATGCAAAAGTTCGTATTTCTTGTTTAAATTTTTTTCGAAAATCTTGCTAAACTAAGTCTCCACACTCAATAGAAGTTATTGCTGTATTATTTATTATACTGAAATCCACTTACCATGCCGGGTCTGAAAAATGTATTATTCCCACTCAGCTCAGCTTTGCAAAAGTACACTAAATCTAAGACTAATATGCACATATAAAAAATTTTTGGTAGCGACATTGTAAATGAAACTTGGGATATATTATATTGAAATCTATTAATACAATACACCTTTCATTGGTATACCATAAATATATATATATATATATATATACCTATAGCGGTGGCCCCCTCTCAAACCACCGAGTACAACATAAGGGAAAATTAAAAATGAATTATCTTATAGATTCCTATTTAAACCTGCATTTTAAAAAATCAATTAGTGCCTAACAAAATGGGCGTTATAAAGGTGGCAGTGAAAATTCTTTTTTAGTTTAAAAAAATATATATTTTATTATAAGACTTAAATAGTATAAGTTTGTTGTATATATATATCATATATGATTATTTTAGTTTAATAAGAAAAAAATCATATGGGTTTGTTTTTGAAATTATAAAATTAATTCCTATTTTATTTATAACTTTAAATATTATTTTCGTCTAGAAAATTTTGTTTATTTACAATTTTTTTCGTCGATGTTATTATTGTAAATAACAACTTGTTGTTAATTTTTAATTTGGTCGCCTACACATTACTTAAACAATTGTACATAAATTAATATGTTATGTACACTATTTTTAACAATACATTTAATTTTTAGGTTTTACCTTTAAAAACATGATTAAATAATAAAATAGACTCAATTTTAAAAACAAAATTTGAGGAAGATCCTTGAATTTATGGAAAATTTTTGGAAATATAACAAGTAATATAACGTCCTCCTAATATTTACGTGTTAACACATTTTTTGTGATTTTAAATTTTGTACAATGTCATGTACTCAGAGATTTTGTATACAACTCAAGTACATTTTGTTTCTTTAAAACAATTATTTTTTAATAAAATTTAAAAGACGTCATTTTAATTTTTTTATAATTAAACTTTAAAAAAACCCCCTTAAGGGTGTAATCACCTTATTTTTTCAAATGGCGAGCTATGCCAAGTAATAGATCATTTGAAAGCTTGTTTTAATAGGAACTTATACCAACGTGCAGTTTTCAATTATTTTATTTTATCTCCACGTGGTCTATAATTTAAACTTTATTGTTGTCAACATTCGATAAAGAAATACCTTGTTATGGCCTAGACTGATAAAAAAATTTATGAGGCAATTAGTTCGATTTTTTCTCGCTAGGGGTATTGTTTTGACAAATTAATCCTTTTCTAAGAAATTAACGTCCTAAACTGGTTTAATTTATTTATAATAAGCACTAATTTGTTTGGTTAATGTTTAATATTTTTCATTAAATTATTGTAAAATTAAATATAAATAATAAAACAAAAAGTGAGGTTAGGCAACCAAGAAAACGCACGATTTTTTTTCTACGATTTAAATTATCTTTAAGTTTTAATTTGCTTTAAGTTTTCAGTGAACAGCTTAAACATTCCAAACTACCTATTTTTTAAATAAAAATCCAAACAAATTGAAATTAGATACCTACCTATTTATTAAACAATTAATTGAATTCAATGTAATAGCAAAAATCCATTTCTACTTAAATCATGTTGCTGGGTATTGTCAAACTATTACTGCTTCTAAAAGCAATTATTATACATTTAATGTAATCTTTAGCTAATAAATAAATGAGATTAAAAAAAAGTGAGGTTAGGCCGCTTTGATGTTGAATTAAATTGACCTATTTAAAGTGCTTTGAAGATAAAATGTTGTATCCCATTCGGCCAAGAAGTGCCTTTTCAAACCTTGAGCTTAGCACAAAAAGCCTTACTTCTTAAACTAATGACATAAATAACTATTATGGCCAGCCTGATCTACAGACCTTACCCCGTTGCACTACGGTCAAAAAGCATCGTTTTTTATTACAAATAAATATTATTTGTTTCTATTTTGAATGTGTTAAATAGGACTTATTACGTATTAAAAAACTATAGTTTAATCGAAAAACATAACGGTTTTTATTTTTTAAATGCGTTTTAGTTGGTCCTAGAGCATCAATTGAGGAAATAATCAAAAAACTTTTTTATTGCAAAGAAATATTTGTTTTTACTGTGTTAAATGAGACTTAACAGGTATAATTAACTATATTTTAATAAAAAAAATAAAGGTCTTTATATTTAAATGCCTTTATTAGATGTTCCCGGTGAAACGATTGCGAAAATAATTCAATAACTTTTTTATTGTAAATAAATACATATTTTTTAACTATCTAAATAATAAGTTAACTTTGTATATATTTTTTAATAATATTAAAAAAAAATAATACATGTTGAAATATTTATAATAATTAATAAATTCAACTAAAACGTATATGCATAGATCTGTGTGTAAGAAAATCTTGAGTGTGTAGACAATGCCTTAGTTAGGTACGAGCGTTCGCGATTCAGCCATGCAGCGCGATAAATAAAAATTCATAACTTTTCCATATGTGCGTATATGCGGCTAATTTTTTGTGTACTTATAAAGTAAAGTTTACTGAACAACCTCATATAGATTAACGTGGAAATCGGAGGCAATCGTAGTTAAATGCCTATAGATATGATTTTTTTCTCTTAATTATATATAAATTTTATTGTTCGATTAAAGTTTATTAAATGTGTGCGTAATTTTTAGCCAATTTTACTGGTTTAAAAACATTCTACTTTGAGGTGTCATAAAATCAAAACAAAATTATTTAAAAATAATTCTTTACCAAAATCTATTGCTTTTAAAAAAGGTGTTTTTAAATAATTGGTTTAACTAATTAAAAAGTGCATATTTTTAAAAACGTCGTTTAAAATTTTGGAATTTTTAAATTTGCATTGCTACCATTAAAAAACAATTTTAAAGTAATGAAATAAATAATGAAACAAACAAGTTTAATTATCTATGCGTTTATTTTGATAATGACCTAAAGTTTTAATAATTTTATTATACATTAGCTTATCTGCATGTTTGGCTACCACATAGTCTACGTGCGTAAATTTTTTTACTGGTATAACATACAATTCCTTAACATTTGGCAACAGCTTTACCAATGTGTTCATATCCTAAAATCACCAAGAATTAGATTGTTACAAACAATTTAAATAAATTAATAAACATGAGTCTAAATATTCAACAAAAACTAATTTATATTTAAATTTTTTGTTGTTAGACCGGAACTTCAGTGTGTGCTATAGGAAGAACATTAAAAATACTAGTTTTAGCCGAAAATGTAATACATTTAAGTTGAAGGTGAGGGTCAAAATGTATTTAGTTTAGTTTTTTAATTTAAATTTTAGTTAGCTCTCGATTTTATTTTCGTACGTATTTTCAAGTGACTTTTGTGACTACAATTTTACATTAATTTGTTACAAAACGGGTGTGCAACAGAATATAACATTTTTTTATTTGCATGACCAACAATAGATTTTATTTTGATGACTACAGCTTGATCTTTACTATAAGGCTTTTTAAAAGGGCCTTTAAGAATTTTTCACCAACTTGATTCACATATTTTTAAAAATATTTAGAGAATGGATTGTCTTACTAAAAAATTTTAAAGGAAAATGTCCCTCCCTTTATTTAGTTTACAAGATTTGAGCAGTTTAATATTTAAAAATTTGAAAAACTTGTGTTTTTTTAGATGTCATAAATTTGATTCCATGACTATTAAGTATCGTGTAAAATGTGCACTTTAACAATATAAAGGTAGGGACATTTTCCTTTAAAATTGTAAAGAATTAAATTTTCTACTACTTTTTTATTTAAATTTTTTTGGTATTCTCAAAACTATGTAAAAAAAATAAAAAAAAATTACTTTCAGAATTGAGTTAGAGAAAAATTCTTATAGGCTATACCATATTATACAGTCTTTTAAATAATCCAAAATACTTATTTATTTTGTCAAAAATGAACCACAATATGATAATCTTTAAACCCGGCAAAGATATAGAAATAGAAAAAAAAGTGATTGAAAATCTTGCTTTTAAATGGGACAAATTTAATACGAAAAAGGAAGTACTTAGAATCAAAATGAAGGGCTCAAACTTGTTTCTCTTTTATTTTTACGTGTATGTATATGTATACATATTTTGATAAAAAATTTGCGCTTAACTTACCTCCATTGTTACGACTATATCGTTTTGTCCAATGTAAATATATGTTGGCACATCCATTTTGGCCAAATCATAATTTGGTGGAATGGTATTGTTGTATTTTTTTAAGTTTTGTTCTCTTCCATAATCAAATTGCCTGAATGATTCTAAAAAATATTTTGAATAATAGTATATTATGTTTCAAGTTTGATAAAGGCCATTTTACGACAAATACTTATTATTATCTTAAAATGATTTAAATCAAAAATTTGGATAGAGCGCCATCTATGAAACGATAGGGAAATCTGTGTGTCACCGTCAAATGCCACATTTTTATATTTTATAAACACAGATTATAAAGGTTATAAATCGAAATGTATTTCTTGAAAATTGAGAGTTTTTCACATTGAAAGTAAAGAAAATGTTTTATGGGTACTTTACAGTGGAGTCCGTGCCCGAATTTAAGTTATAGTTTACTGCCGGCGAAATTAAAAGGTCATTACAATTTTTATATAAACTTTTCAAATATTGGCGTTGAGAAACTATTTAATACTTTTGTATTTTTGTATTGAGATAATAAAATAATTTTCACATTTAGTATTATTTTACAAGAAAGGCACTTTATTTTAACGATTGTATGACATTTGACAACTGTCAACTAACTTAAAACTAACTTCAGCCCGTGACTAAAAACCTGTTGCTAACTTCAGCCCGTGACTAAAGCGCCATAAAGCCACAACTTGTCAATGTATATTTAAAAGGTCCCTTAGTGTCATGGAAACATGTTAAAGGGCGTTTTAAAGGTGGGAGTAGAAAAAAATTTTTAACTGTTTTTTTCACAATATTCACAAAAGCTGATGAGGGAAAAAGTTTACGTCTACCACAGCAAAATAACCAGTGTTAAAATAAGTGTTTAAAAACTTACTTGAATGAGTTAACTGAGAAAAATGTTCCATTTGCTTTAAAGAACAGCCTGCAGGCATGGTTCCAGAAAAATTAAAAATGGCTTTCTAAAATCAAAATAAATTCTTACATTACATACCATCTACCTAAATGTAGATCTCTCACCCAATCAGTTACTTCTGATTCACCCATAAATATGTTGGACATTTCCAAAATCAATCTTTGGTTATGTTTTGAAAGAGCATAAGTTAAAAACCGTAAATCATTGTAGTCCATAAAAAATGATTCTCTGTGATTTAACTTAACCATGTCATCCTAAAAAAAAATAACCAATTTTTTTCAGCACTATTTATATTATATTGTTTACGTACATATAAGTCTTTTGAAGTGTCAATGAATGACTGCATAAGAGGCATATTTACATGATCATAAACAACACCAGGAGCCAATCCGATAAAAACAGATACTTTTTTTTTGTATTCAGGTTTTTCAGTAGCCATAACACAAAAAATTGTACCACCCTGAGAATGACCAACGTACGCTACTGTTTTATACCCTGTTTTGTTAAGAATAAAATCGATTATAGCTGGTACATCGTAGACACCCATTTCATGCCAACTAAAAGAAGAAAGTTACTAATATACACTCACAGGCAAAATAATCGATCCACACAAATATTCGATGAATTTCAATCGCAAATAACTTTTTTATTTGTTTTCTGATTTAAACAAATATTATTAAAGAATATTATAGATACATTAATGGAGAATCGCTCACATTTTAAAAATTAATAAAAAATACACGTTCGTTTATAATATACAGGTTTAAACAAAAAGATATTTTTTACCATAAGTTTAAGACACTCTGTAGAGTGGCAAAACCGTATATCGTTCTAAATTAAGTTTTAATTATTAAGTCACATCTATTTTTAACAGTTTTACCTTGATATATTTATTTTTGTGGAAAATATGGATTTTTTTAAAAAAAACATTGCAATTTCCAATATTTTTCCTGTATGAAGAACTAAGGTTGCTATGGTCCATCCATAGCCTATGGAGGATGACAGTGCACAGTTTTGTTGATTCATCCCATAGTTGGACATGTCATATACAGCTTTCAAAAGCTATCAAATTGTTTTTTGTAAGTTAATGTGTTAATTTTGAGGTTTCTTCTTACTTTTAAAAATGTCTCCGACTGATGTTGCCCTTTGTACTTTACTTCTTGTGACGTTTAAAACACTTGCCACGTAATACTGTGACCGTCCATCCTGGATTAAATTAATGGCTCTGGCAACATCATTCGGAGACATCCATTTTTTAAAGTAAGAAGACACCTCAAAATTTAAACGATAATTTGCAAAAAAAATTTGATAGCTTTTGAAAGCCGTGTATGACATGTCCAAGTATGGGATGATTCAACAAAACTGTCACTGTCATTCTCCATAGCCTATGGATGGACCATAGCAACCTTAGTTCTTCATACAGAAAAATATTGGAAATTGCAATATTTTTTTAAAAAATTCATATTTTTCACAAAAATAAATATATCGAGGTGAACCAAAAACAAAACTGTTAAGAATAGTTGTGACTTGATAAATAAAACTTAATTTAGAACAATATACGGCTTTGCCACTCAACAGAGTGTCTTAAACTTATGGTAAAAAACATCTTTTTGTTTAAACCTGTATATTATAAACGTACGTATATTTTTTAGTATTTTTTTAAAATGTGAGCGATTGTCCATTAATTTATCTACAATATTCTTTAATATTTGTTCAATCCAACATCAAATAAAAAGTTATTTGCGATTGAAATTCATCGAAAATTTGTGTGGATTATTTTGAGTGTAAGTGTATTATTAAAAATAAAAAAATCTAATAACCTGAAATCCCAGAATAAAGGATCCTTATCGGGGTTTAGGGTGGTATGGTTTCTTGAATGCATATTGCCTCGAACATTTCCCAACCAAACGTCGTAACCAGCTTCAGCTGCCATAATTGCCAACGATTTTTCTCCCAAAATTATGTAATTTTCCGATGATCCCAACAGGCCGTGCATAAGGATAACTGGAGGTCCACTTGTTGAGTTTTTTTTACCATGAGGTATTCTGAATAGTTTGAGAATATAACCATCCTTAGTTTCCACGTTGTAAGTTTCCACAGGGTACCCCAAATTTTTAACAAATTCTTGCTGTAAAAAATGTTAAATCATTGTCAAAAATTAAAACTCTTACTCACAAATTTTGGCTTGCAAAAAAAGTTGTCATCAGTTTTACTTTTTTCCACAAAAAGCAATATAACGAAAAAAACCAAAGGAGACTTCATTTTTTTAATAAACATATCATTTTTCTGACAATGTCTTATATATAATTATTAATATCAATAAAAATGAATAAATTAGTCCTATAATTGGGTATGTAGAGGTAGTTAATCTAATTTAATTATTTAATTAACCTTTTAAGTGGTTTTATGTGTAATTTAAAGATATATGAGATTTTAAAATTTTGTAACTAGTTTAGGACTTTGACGTATACAATAAAAATTAATTTTTTTATGAATTTCCATAATATTTCCATTATTTATTTAAACTATTTACTTGGTTAATAAATATACAAACGTAAGAAGGGACTTTCTACACGTGTAGAATATATTTATAATAAATTATAATAATTAATGTTATCTTCAAGCGTTCTTTAATTTAAGCTTTATTATTGCCAATCTGGAAAAAAATTCAAAAAATTCAATAACAGCTCTTTATTTTTTTAATAATTAAGTATTATAATTTTACGATTTATGTGATGTTTAACAAAAAATATAAAATCAATTACTATAGTAGCAAGTGTTAATAATTAAAAAGTTTAAATTATAGAAATATTTTTATTAACATTTTCATGTCACCTATTCTACTTTTTTTTAATATATATATAACTATATAACTATATATCTATAGTTTAAGATAAACCCCTCGCGCGGAATTGTGCTTAGCAACTGATCAAGATACTTATAAAACATTACTAAACAGTCTGACAATTTTAAATAAAGGCAATAAAACAATATACAGGATTGGACAATACTGCAGGCTAGTCATAGATTATAATGCTTATAATTCTGTGATGTACTATCCCAAGCAGCATTTTAAGTAAAAGCGTAGAGCTTTGAGGCAATATTACTTAATTTAAGTAAATATTTTGTTAAATTAACCTTAAAAATTTTCTTTTAAGTAGTTATGTAATAAGTTTTATTTATGTTATTTTTACCCATTTTAGTAACCCTTTTCAACACTTTAAAGGGACGTAATTTTTAGGAAACAAAATTACTTTTAAGTGTATTTTACCTAAAGGAGAATTTTACGGTAATTTTAACGTCAGAATTTGTACTTAATGGTAAATGTTACTTATAAGTCATAATTTTACGATATTAAGACCACTTTATAACCTTAAATAATTACTATTCGCCTGGTATTTTTTAGGTTTATTAGTGGTAATAAATACTATTAATATTGGCTAAACAAGGTAAAATAAGCTTAAAGTGAAAAATAAAACTTTAATGGAAAATCAGGTCGCTAAAATGAGTTTTTTAAGATGGCATCCATTACTTATCCAAACATTTATATAATATTTTTTCATAAATATTTTTCTAAAATATAATAAGGAAAATTTTAGTTATTAAAAAATGATTAAAACTAAATGGTGATTAAAAGATAAAATAAGATATAAAATTTAATGGTTTTAAATTTTGTTGAATTTTTACCCAAGCAATAATTTTTCTTAAAACCGTAAAATATTTAGAGGACCTATAATTTTTAAGATCTGCGTTTGAGTTTCTTAGTTTTAATGCAAGTTTTAATGCAAAATATTATTAGTTTTGACAATTTAAGTTATATTTTTTAATTTTACTCTAGGATGGCCTTTATTACTTTGTAAGTAACATTTTATAAAATATAAATTAAAAGAACAAAGAAATTACGAATGTCAATGTTTTAGAAAGAGAGAGCAAACAGTTAGTAATTATAGCGTTATTTTTACGTAAATTTGTGGTATTTATATTGTTTTTATTACGTTATTCTCTTAGTAGATCAAAAAGGTTATTATATAGGTAAAATAACGAAATGAACCATTCCCAAAATTTGGTAATTTTTCTTATCTACATCGTTATAAAACCGTTTGGGTTAACCGTAAAAAATACTTTAAAGTTGACTTAGTTTTCATAACTGAAGTTATGTTGACATTTTGCAAAATGAATCCCTAAATTTAAAATTAAAAAATTATTCTTAAATTTTGATAACAAAAATAGTATAAAGAACTCATCTTATAAGATGTTTTCTCGCAAGGGAATAAAAGGGGATGATAGTACAAACTAAAATAAGAAAGTTTTTCCTCTATTATTTTTGCTTTAAATTCATGTATATATAAATTAATATAATAATATGTTTATTATGTATATAAATATTTGTTTAAAAATTTGGCAATAAATAAATATTAATAGAAGTATATTGACTTATAATAATAATAAATTAAACATATATGGTTTACCCACCTGTTGATCATAATAATATATTTTAATATCTCTCTTGCTCAATATGAACAAAACACATCAATATTGAATTAGGATAATTAAAAGTACCGGAGAGAAGATTTAATTTTTTTTATTTATTTTATATTAGCATATTGCCCAAGAAGTTTAAAAACTCGTTCAAAAATCAAACTAACAACATTGTTGGCGACTATAAAATCCAAATGTGTCCAATGTGGGTAAGGAACTTCGTATTTATCAACCAGATTGGGTAGAATTTTGGCAAGACGTAGAACATCCTAAAATTTGAAATTTAACCAAAATTATTTCAGATTTCATAATATATCATTTTCTGAAAATATTCATGGTTACTAAACAATTATAGTTTTCACTTCAAGACTTATCCCAAGTTAGTTTGGGAATTGCGAATTCTAATTTAAATAAAATATAATTTCAAATGTTTTTAGGAAATTTAAAACTATAATTACCTTTTTGTCATTGACAATATCATCTTTGGAATAAAATAGAGCTATTGGTGTGGATATGTTTAAATTGTATCTGGGAGGAGTTGTGGAGTTATATATTTTCATATTTTTCTTTGGGCCATAATCATATTGCATAAACTCTCCTAAAATTCAAATATTTGTTTTATAACATTGGCATCACCTTTTTGCTTTTTTACATGTGGATTACCTGTGGCTATACTTTGACTGTAATGTATTATTTGCATTGTAGATTGTCCTGCAGGAACTGAACCAAGCATTTTAGGAATAATTTCCTAAAAATTTAAACAATTTACAATTTTTCTACATTTAGTTTGTGATAATGTACCTGGTTAAAATTTTTGTACTCAGCTCCAGTCATCATACTCATTATATTTAAGCACAAATTCCTCCATCCATTTAAAACACACATTGATTTATACGAATTTTTTACATTTTCGTCACTAAATCCCAACTTAAATTCAAAAAAGTTCAGCATGTTCATTAATCTCTGTAAGAAGTTAAAATGATAAAACGTTACTATGATGATCACAACCTATAGGGACAAGTTAAAATAAAGTCAAGTAAAATTGACCCAAAAAATTATTTTCATATTTAACTTACATCCATGGTTCTATAAAGAGGAGCAAATCTAGTGAGCGCTGGATTGCTGGTGTGATTTAAAAACACGGATGGTGCCAACATTACTGCCACACTGATTTTAGGTTGGTACTCTGGTCTCTCGGATCCCATAACGAAAAACACTGTCGTTCCTTGGGAATGACCCACATAAGCTACCTGAGGTTTATTTGTTGTATTCAAAACGTGGTCTATTACTGCTGGTATATCGTGTTTTCCAATTTCATGCCAACTGAAGAATAACAAATTTTATTTTTTATTTTGAAAATCGACAAATTTCAATTATGAACCAAATCCAAACTTCCAATAATCTTTAGTCAAAGAATTTCATTTAAAAAATTAAATTTATATAGAGACCTATGAATTTGAATGTTCGCATATAAAAAACCGTTTTTTTCACAATATCAAGAAAACAAGAACTGATTGAGCAAAATATTGTAGTCCACCCTGCCTGAAAATGCCTGATGACCGGTGTAATAATTACCTAAATTTCCAAAAGTTACTATCCGATCTTTTCAACCACTTGTGCTTGTCTGAATATTGAGTTCCCCTGGCATTTGGCATCCAGACATCATATCCCATGTCAGCCAACAGACAGGGGAGACTTGAGTTTCTTCCCGCGTAAATCCAGTTTTCCGCATTGGTCAACAAGCCATGCATTAAAATGACCGGATCCAAATTTGGGTTGGGTTTTCCCCTCGCAGGAACTCTGTGGACGCCAATGATGTAGCCATCTTCTGTTACTACAGAGTGAGTTTCGATCGGATAGCCGTGTTCGATAAAAAATTCCTCCTAAATTAAAAAAAAATTTGTTTTTATGTTTTTTTGTCTTTTTAGTACATTTTTTACTGCCTGCATTATTCACTTTAAACAGTGTTGGGACAATATTTTTTATAACCTTAACATTAAACATTAAAATTGTCAAAGCAAAAACACTAATTCTTTTAGACTATTTAATATATTAAGTGCATAAATGTCCGGTCTGGGATAATTATTAAGGATATACGTATGCACAAAGCATGGTTAAAATTTACTGTAAAAATAAAAAGTTTTCTTTACGAAATAATTTGGCTAAATCGCGAAATACATTCTAGATCTTTGTCACAAAACAATATTTAACCAACCACTTCATTTGTTGAGATAATGTGAAATATTAAAGAAAAAATACTTTTTTGCCAGATAATACAAACATTTTTACGCAACAAATACTAAATATTAATTTTTTATCACAAGCATAAAAACTTGATATAAATTAAAACCGAAAAAAATACTTACAATCCACGGGGAGGAATCACTGTTATTTTGGGTAAATGAATTTCTCACACCCATGAAACCAATGATTACTATATAAAAAGTTTTATTTAACATTTTTACACATTTATTTTTTATATTAAATTTAGTAATTATGTTATTCAATGCGTATACTTTTAGTAATGGTCTGTTTTATACATAAATAAATCAATATATATTGGGTCTCTATGGTTTGTTTCTTTTTAGTAAAAAGTCCATATTTTAATTACAAGTTTTATAAAAAAACTAAATAAATATAAAATATGCAAGTAATTATGTTTAACCACCTGTCTGAGTCTACAATAATATTCATTATAAGTGTAGTTGTAATTGGCATAATTAAATAGTCGACAGAATGTTTATTAGCTTTAATTAAATTAAATCTAATAACATCAAATAAAACCCCTTTTTCATTACTAAAAATCTATATATTTTATCAAAGTTGTTCTCGAAATCAAAGCTTTTATTCTTATTTTTGCCAGTTAAATTTTTCAAATGAGTTTTTGTTCATAGACAACACTGTAGTGATGCTTCAGCCTCCATATTCATCAGACATGACTCCGTGTAACTTTTGAAAATGGTGAATACTACCGCAGAACGTGGAGTGGGGCTTCCTCAAAACTTCAACAATCTTCACTTTAAAAGCAAGCATGGTTTTGACGGTACATAAACTCCAGAAAAATCTCCCGTGGTAAATAATGTACTTGTAATTTTTGTTTAAATAAAATCAATTATATACAACGAACGTTTTCAAAAAATACTCTGCTTTTTGCGTCTTTCCTGATTATATTTTCGCCAGCGCACTCAATAACGAGAAAAAATTACCACAAGCCTAATTTGAATATTTTTTATGCTTGTTTTGTAAACTGTATCAAAATTTTATAAACAATATATCAAAATGGCCGCAACGGTTTTTTATTATTTAAAGGCAATCAGAGAAGTTACTAATAAAATTTTAGTTATTTTCATTAATATCTGACTGAAATTTGCGCATTTGTTTGTAGGAATGAATTTAAAGTTGGGAACATCCAAATCCTGTCCGATTGAGCTCATACACAGTAAAAAAATTTGCCAGTGTAAATTTTTTAGTGTAGGGGTAAAAATATTAGAGTTAATTTGTAAGTGTAAAAGTTACACTAGGTAGCATTTAGTGCTTATTAACTTTATTAAACACATTTAAAGAATATGAACATTGTTCATTGGTACATTCACACTTAATGCGAGTGTTTATTACCCCTTAATGTGTTAAATAGTGACAAAATGTACACTACAGTGCATGCCAATTTCTTTGTCTGTTTTGATGTTACTAAGAGCACTTTTTTCTTTACACTACTAGTGCACATTGTATCACAATTAAAGTTAAATTACACCAATAGTGGAAAAATAGACTGAAAAAATTGGTAATAATCGAAATGCGTTTTAAAATGTTTGGTTGGTACCTATCTACCTACGCAGTGCATATCCGGAGATAGCGCGTTGTGGAAGTGTGGCATTTTTGTTCAGTTAGATTTTAATTACGGTGAATCCATAACGGGACATTCCTATTTTTTAGTATAATACTGCCTTTTTCTTTAAGCCTTAATACTCAATAAATACCAATACGTTAAAAGGATGTCCATACCCGACCTATATTATATATCAATAATTTACGGCAGTAGGTCGGGTACTTGGAACATTAATAATAAATACATACACACTTGATTTACTTTTTATTTTCAAGCGTAATGGTTGTTATATTAACCTATACCTACATTTTTATTAATATTATGGAAAATTTGTACACGTGTGGTAAATCCCCGACATACAGCCGCCTGACGCCTCTCTACCAATGGGATCACCCATTTTTTATAACAGAAAAATGGATTACTGATGAATTCTCAAGATAATTCATTGCTTACAAGTTGACAGCCAGTAAAACATTGCATTGATCTAAAACTTTTACGTTTTAAGGAACCATTTTGCTTAAGCCAGCCATACGACTCAAATATAAAATTATATTTTAAAAGGCACCGATTTTGATACTTGTCATAGATTTTTCTTCCAAATAAATGTTTCTCTTTATTTACCTTTTCGTTTTATTCACTACCACCAATAGGTGTCACTCAAATAATAGTTTGCACTAAGAGTAAAATTATAAGCTTTCCAAAGTAGTGTTAATTTACACTGAACAAACGTTGGATTTTACCCAGGAAGTGTAGAAGTACACGATTTTAGGTAAATTAACACTTTTTAATACAGTGTGAAATTACTTTATCCTCAGTGCTATAGTGTTAAATCATACTTGCTTACTTGGGGAAAATTACACTACAAATTAACTCTAATTGTAGTGTTATAAAACAACACTATATAGTGTGGACCTGTGTGAACCCTAATTAGTGTTGCTTAGAGTTTATTTTTTTTTACTGTGTAGGTTCAGAATTGTTTTATTTGTTTCCAAACTTGACCTTTTATGTCATGTTAAATATTTGTTTAAAAGTTTTGAATTAATATTAATTCTCACCAAATATAAATAAATAAAAACAAATACATACTTATAAAAGTATATTGATTAATATTAATTTAAACCCAAAACATCAATATTTATTTAGGATGATATTTTATTTTTATAAATTATTTAATATTAGCATACTGCCCAATAAGTTTTATAACTCTGTCATAAATAATAGGTACAACATTTTTAGCAGCTATAAAATTCAAATGTTTCCAATTCGGGTAAGGAACTTCGTATTGATCAACCAGATTTGGTAATATTTTTGCAAGTCGAAGGACATCCTAAAATAAAAAATATTTAGGAAAAATTATATTTTTTGATATAAACCCTCTAAAAATGTTCACTGTTTAAAATTGTTATTGTTATTTTTAGAAGGTTATTACAATTACTTTTTTGTCAACAACAATTTCATCTTTGGAATAAAATAGAGCTATTGGTGTGGATATGTTTAAATTGTATCTGGGAGGAGTTGTGGAGTTATATATTTTCATATTTTTCTTTGGGCCAAAATCATATTGCATAAACTCTCCTAAAATTCAAATATTTGTTTTATTATATTGGCATTACCTTTTTGCTTTTTTACATGTGCATTACCTGTAGATATACTTTGACTGTAATGTATTATTTGCATTGTAGATTGTCCTGCAGGTACAGTATCTAGCATTTTAGGAACAAGCTTCTAAAAATGAACATAAACAATTTACAATTTTTTTATTCACATTGTAATGAGGTACCCGGTTAAAGTTTTTGGACTCGACTCCAATCATGTCGTCCCATATTTCTAAACACAAATCTTTCCATCCATTCAAACTACACACTGATTTATATGAATTTTTTACATTTTCGTCACTAAATCCCAACGAAAATTCAAAGAAATTCAGCCTGTTCATCAATCTCTGTAACAAAGTTAAAGTAATACCAATTTAAACTAATGCTAATACTTTACTTACATCCATGGTTTTATAAAGATGAGTAAACCTAATGAACGCAGAGTTGCTGGAGTGATTTAAAAAAACAGATGGTGCCAACATAACGGCCACACTGATTTTAGGTTGGTACTCTGGTCTCTCGGACCCCATAACGAAAAACACTGTCGTTCCTTGGGAATGACCCACATAAGCTACCTGAGGTTTATTTGTTGTATTCAAAACGTGGTCTATTACTGCTGGTATATCGTGTTTTCCAATTTCATGCCAACTGAAGAATAACAAATTTTATTTTTTATTTTTAAAATCGACAAATTTCAATTATGAACCAAATCCAAACTTCCAATATTCTTTAGTTAAAGAATTTCATTTAAAAAATTAAATTTATATAGGGACCTAGGAATTTGAATGTTCGCATATAAAAAAACCGTTTTTTTCACAATATCAAGAAAACAAGAACTGATTAAGCAAAATGTTGTGGTCCACTCTGCCTGAAAATACCTGATGACCAGTGTAATAATTACCTAAATTTCCAAAAGTCACTATCCGATCTTTTCAACCACTTGTGCTTGTCTGAATATTGAGTTCCCCTGGCATTTGGCATCCATACATCATATCCCAGGTCAGCCAACAGACAGGGGAGACTTGAGTTTCTTCCCGCGTAAATCCAGTTTTCCGCACTGGTAAACAATCCATGCATTAAAATGACCGGATCCAAATTTGGGTTGGGGTTTCCCCTCGCAGGAACTCTGTGGACGCCAATGAGGTAGCCATCTTCTGTTACTACAGAGTGAGTTTCGATCGGGTAGCCGTATTCGATAAAAAATTCCTCCTAAATTAAAAAAAAATTTAGTTTTTATGTTTTTTTGTCTTTTTAGTACATTTTTTACTGCCTGCATTATTCACTTTATACAGTGTTGGGACAATATTTTTATAACCTAAACGTTAAACTTATGAAAATTGTCAAAGCAAAAACACTAATTCTTTTAGACTTTTTACTATATTAAGTGCATAAATGTCCGGTATGGGATAATTATTAAGGATATACGTATGCACAAAGCATGGTTAAAATTTACTGTAAAACCAAAAAGTTTTCTTTACGAAATAATTTGGCTAAATCGCGAAATACATTCTAGATCTTTGTCACAAAACAATATTTAACCAACCACTTCAATTGTTGAAATAATGTGAAATATTAAAGAAAAAATACTTTTTTGCCAAACATTTTTACCCAACAAATACTAACTATTGATTTTTCATCACAAGCATAAAAACTTTATTTAAACTAAAACCGAAAAAAATACTTACAATCCACGGGGTGGAATCACTGTTATTTTGGGTAAAAGAATTTCTTACACTCATCAAACCAATTATTACTATATATAAAGTTTTATTTAACATTTTTACACATTTATTTTTTATATTAAATTTAGTAATTATGTTATTCAATGCGTATACTTTTAGTAATGGTCTGTTTTATACATAAATAAATCAATATATATTGGGTCTATATGGTTCGTTTCTTTTTAGTAAAAAGTCCATATTTTAATTACAGGTTTTATAAAAAATATATATAAATATAAATTATATTTAAATATAAATTATGTTAATAATTAAAAACACATACATTTTTTAACCACCTGTCTGAGTCTTCAATAATATTTATTATAATTTTATTTGTAATTGGCAAAATTAAATAGTCGAAAGAGCGTTTATTAGCTTTAATTGAATTAAATCTAATTACATCAAATTAAACTTCATCTTCATTACTAAAAATTTGTATATCTTATCAAAGTTGTTCTCGAAAACAAAGCTTTTTTTCTTATTTTTGCCAGTTAAATTTACCAAATGAATTTTTGTTTATAGACAAGACTGTAGTGATGCTTCAGCCTCCATATTCATCAGACATGACTCCGTGTAACTTTTAAAAGTTGTGAATGTTACCGAAAAACGTGGAGTGGCGCTTCCTCAAAACTTCATTAATCTTCACTTTAAAAGCAAGCAAGGTTTTGGTGGTACAAATAAACAAAATTCTAATTTTAATATTTTGTATGCATGGTTTTTTAAATTGTTACAAACTTTTATAAATAATATATCAAAATGGTCTCAATTATTAATAGTATTTAATTATATGATTCAAACACTTTATAATAATATTAATAATAATAATGTTTATTGCCCAACAGAGAAACTTCAATTACAGGACAAATATCAAATACATAATTACCTTATTATACATAAACTAAAAATAATAATAAAAACAAGGTCATGAAAACCTAATATATACAAAACTATACAAGTATAACCATTAGATGAAAAATTATAGCTTTACTCAATACTATGCTCAACATAAACATCAGTTATAAATTTTAAAGAATCATTATTCAGATCACAATAATTTGAGATTTTATTAAAAATATAACACATAGCTGAAACAGGCGATGATACACCAACATTAGTTCTTCCAAATGAATAAAAATACAAACTACTTCTAGCACTAGCTCTTGGAACTAAAAGATTAAATTGTGATAGCAAGTCAGGGCAATCAATCTTATTGTGAAATAAGTTGAACAAAAAGGGATAAAATAGCAATAATTTTCTATTTTCAAAACCCCTTTCTGGATAAACTTCATTTACATTATGACATAAAAACTTGGGTCCTTTCAATCAGATTTATATGTATGTTATAGTTTGAATTCCATATAAGTGCTCCATATTCCAGTTTGGATCGAACCAAAGTAAAATATAATGTTTTAAGGCAATCCATATTTTTAAATGATTTACAATTTCTGATTAAAAAACGCAACATTTTTAAAGACGAATTATTTATGTTTAAAATATGGTCAGAAAATGTAAATTTATTATCAAATGTGATACCCAAATATTTTACATTGGTACAACGCGATAGACTATTGTTGTTAAAATAAAGAACATCAATATTTATTTAAGATAGTGAATATACTATAGTACTTGTGTAAAGATTTTATTTTTTAAATTATTTTACATTAGCATATTGCCCAAGAAGTTTAATAACCCTATCATAAATCATAGGTACAACATTATTAGCAACTATAAAATTTAAATGTGACCAATTCGGGTAAGGAACTTCGTATTGATCAACCAGATTTGGTAATATTTTTGCAAGTCGAAGGACATCCTAAAATAAAAAAGTTTGAGTAAAAATAAAAAAATTTAAAAAAGTTATATTTTTATAAACATCTCTGAAAATGTACACTGTTTAAAATTTGTATGGTAATTCTACTAAAAACTTGTTGAAAGTTTTTACGCACATCGATATATACAGTGTGGTTCACTTATAACCTTACCATCCGGATAAAATTTGCATTTTTTAAACGATTTTCGTACTTTTTTATATCGGCATGTTTCAGACTCCTTAATTTAAACATTTGAAAAAAAAATTAAGGAATTTTAGAGCTGGTCTCTTCTGTTTCTTGGTGGATAAAATGCGCTCCTGGCCCTACACATGAATTAATGGATGTCAAAAGCCATTTATGTCCTAAATCTGTTCATTTAATAACCAGAGAGTCAAAGCATTTCGAATATGTAGCTATAATTGTAAGCCCTTAGTTATCTTTCTTAATTTATCTATCTGTCCCAATAGGAAAAAAGTCTAAAGGTGTTAGATCTGGTAATCTTGCTGGCAATTCTATAAAACCTCTTCTTCAGATCCACCACTTTTGTGGAAAGGTGTAATTTAAATAATTCCTTGCAGGAAGAGCATAGTGTCGCATTATTTAACTAAAATAGGAAAAAAGTCTAAAAATGTTAGATCTGGTAATCTTGCTGGCCATTCTATAAAACCTCTTCTTCAGATCCACCACTTTTGTGGAAAGGTGTAATTTAAATAATTCCTTGCAGGAAGAGCATAGTGTCGCATTATTTAACTAAAATATTATTGCAATTTTATTGAAAGCACTTGGATAAAAAAATACTTTAACAAGTAAGGCATGAAATATTTCACTAATAATAAAAAATTGTACAATGTCACATCATGTGATTCACATGTTAATCAAACAATAACTGAGCAAAAAATATGAATAGCTAAAGCTAAAACACAAAAAACCAAGGCATATAATAACCAACACATTCATACTTTTAATTTGTAAATAAATGCCCTGTAGCTGCCTCTTTTAGAAATTTTTTGAAAATTCTTAATATTGGAGTATATTGTTAACGAGACTTGGAGAATACTGTTTTCATACTGAGCACATCATTAGATTTATATAGGAATAGCCAAAAATCACTTTTTATATAGTAAAAATGTACAAAACAGATTTAACTCCAAAAAATGTTATTGTATTTAATTTTATTCAAAATTAATTTTTCTTATAAAGTCTTAATAAGAATCCCATTTTGTAGCCTGATAAACATAAAAATATCTAAAAAAACATGGGTAGGTATATGTCTTTTTTGCGTGTTATGCCAAAATCATGAAGTTACGCTTTTGCGTAAAAAAAGCTAACCCTGTATATATTAAATGATGTGCACAGTATAAAAAAAGTATTCTCCAAATCTCCTTAACAATATACTTCAATATTATAAAAATCGGTGTACAAATGTGTACTCTGTCAAAGGTAGACTTTAAGATAAACAAAAATTAAAAAAAAAATCATGTATTTTCAAAAAATTTCGAAAAGAGGAGCAGCTAGGATTTTGGTAAATATCATTTTTAAGTCAACAAAGGGTCCCGAACAAGAAACTGCAATCAGTTTTTGTCGGCATTTTTATGTGACTTAAACTTCGTTTAGGCACACCGTGTATCAATTTTCGATGAAAAAAATTCTTATCGAATAGCAAATTTTATTCCATAAGTGAAAACCACTTTATATTACCTATACTATAATTACAGTATATTGAAATAACCAGATTCTTCTTTAATGTCTTCATTATTGAAGGGAAAAGTACCACCTCATTAGTTAATGATAGTGTTTTGTATTACAAAATTTGAGTTATATGGCTTATTCATGAAAAAAAAATAAAAAATTAAACTGAAGAAAATTGGTATAGAGGGAGCCCGAGTCAAAATTAAGATCGTAATTTAAACCTTAAGTCTGACAATTTCCGTCTTAAACGGTTTTATATTCGCCTAAAGATAACCAACTTATGACCTAAAACATGGCAGATAAGTCCATTTTCCCGATTTTTCGGTTCTAATTACGTTTAAATTTAAACCAAAAATTTTATTAGAGGTTTAAATCGGTTTAAATCGGTTCAAATGAAGATTAATTCGGTTGTTCTAGTGCTAAATTGAAGTAAACAGACTGAACAGGTTTTAAATCAGTTTTGGTAGGTCAAAGTAGGTTTAAATTACGATTTAAATTTTGACTCGGGAGGGGCCTTTTCAGGATTTATCCAACAATTTGTTTTTTAAAAATCGTTTGGAAATAAATAATCGGTTGGAAATGCAAATTTCACGAGGGTGGTAAGGTCCCTTACTGACAATATACAGGGTGATCCACGTAACAGGGTGACCCACTTAACTTATTTTTTATTTGTAATAATAGTAGTGTGCATTGGACTGTACTTTATTTAGTGTTTATAAACTTTTCCGCACTCGCCATATGTATAAAACATGTTTAGAATATCTTGATTAGTGTAATTATTATCACCCATTGTAACACAATTGTCAGAGACGTTGACATTGACATTACTTTATAAATACGAAATAAAAGACAATCCAACGCACACTACTGATATACAAAAAAAAATATGCGGTTTTTTCACATTTTTTTATCTCTGTAAACATTTAACATTTATTAGATAAAAGTTTAACACTTAAATTATGTTTTAACAGAAATTTATAAAGTTAAATTTTTTTAAACTCAAAACAATTGATAGTCAAAAAATATTTTAAATATAAAATGCAACAGTAAAAATTTATGTTTAAAAATATTGTTTTTAAAAGTTTTGGTTGTAATATTTTATTCTACAAAATTATTGGTTTAAATTTTTAAACAGTCATTTAAATGATGTATTTTAATTGTCGAATTAACTTAGTACAATAGGCAATAAAAATGTTGTTGTTCTTTTATTAAATTTATGTAATAAAGAAACATTTCATTACGATAATTTGTAGTAAAACTCGTCAAATATTTATGGAGCAAGCACGATTTGGCAACACTGCGGATCAAACTGGCTGCATCGTGGCTCCGATCCCAGACTCTTGTGCCTTCTACTAAGGCTATGTTTACACTTTGTAATTTAAAAATTATCGACTAACATTTAAAGGTAAAGTTATAAATTTTGTCTTAAAAATGTATCAATTTAAAATTGTTAAAAATAAAAGTTATTGGTTAAAATTTGTAAAGAGTCATTTAAATGAAAGTCGATAAATTTTTAATGCAAAAATTACCACTTTAAAATTTAAAACTAACATTTAAATGTAATGTTCAAATTTTTTTATCGAAAATTTATCGACTACCGTTTAAATGACTCTTTAAACCAATAATTTTGAAGAATAAAATATGAAAATTCCATTTTTTTTAAATTAATATTTTTAAACTTAAACTTTTACAGTTGAATTTTATATTTTAAATATTTTTTTATTATCAATAGTTTTGAGTTTACAAAAATTTAACTTTTTAAACTATTTTGGTTGAAAATGTGTTTTTATTTTAAATGGCTTGATACTATTTTTAAATACTAAAAAATTTAACTTTACCAAATTAATCTCAATAATTTTATAAAATATTTATTTAAGTTAACAAAATGCCACCCAAATAAATTATACTTGGAAAATTATTTTTATTAAAAAATGATAGTTAGTAATTTTTGCAAAAATTGATAAAAAATAATATTGTTTAATACAGAAGTGAACTGTTGGTTAGTAAATACATGAGATTTGTAAATATTATAAATGTAAACCTAAAATTTTTAGTTAGGAAAATTTTAAACCAATAAAATTTTAAATTAAAAAATTATTTAATAAATGTTAAAACGGCGTGCCATAGTATAGGGAATGCTGCAGCATTTCAATAGAAAACATTATTTTGTGTTGAATGATGTAAAAATTGTATGGTAGTTTTGTTTGAAATAAGAAAGTTATTAGAATTTAAAGTGACAAAAAAGTCAACATAAATACCAGATACCCTGTATAAAATGTTTAAATTCTATTAATGGCTTTCGATAGAGTGCTCCTTAGTTAACAGGTGCACCAAAAATTAACTTTTAATATCTGTCAATATTTTTGAATAAAAATAAATATCTTAAAAAATGTTAAAAATTAAAAAAATAATCAAATTTTAGTATACCTAGAAATTTACGTAGAATTTAAAAATGCAATAATATGTATATGGTTCCATTTGAAAAACCAATGTTGATATCACTTCCGGTCTCCATAAACTTCTAATGAATAAGTTAGGTAAATCACCCTGTTATATTATAATACAGTTTTGAAAATTTACCACACAACTTATCGCAACCCCGTTGGGTTAGATGTTTTCATAATTAATTTACATTAATTAAGTTTGCGTTATTTTCAGAGAGTTATAACAATTACCTTTTTGTCAATGATACTTTCATCTTTGGAATAAAATAGAGCTATTGGTGTGGATATGTTTAAATTGTATCTGGGAGGAGTTGTGGAGTTATATATTTTCATATTTTTCTTTGGGCCATAATCATATTGCATAAACTCTCCTAAAATTCAAATATTTGTTTTTTAATACTGGCACTACGTTTTTGTTTTATTATATATGTACTATGCTCCACACCTCAAAGTCCCACCACGTGACCACGTACGGAACGGGGTCTTTTGAAAATTTGGCATTTAAGGCTTTTCAGGTTATGTATCTGTCAAAGTATAGTCAATGAAAGAAATAATATTTAAAGTGTTACCGCTTATGTTTGAGCGTTAAAGGTTAATAAATCTTTATAGTATCACAATAACAATGGTTGGTTTAAGAATTTAGGAATATAAATACTGTGATATTTTTGTGCATTGGGTCTACATTTCTCCATAAAATAGTTTTAACTAACAGCATTTATTAAAAAAAATCTAACTTCTATTATGAAATAAGAATATCTGTATCAAAGGTAGGTTAATGTATTAGAACAAAAAATATCATCTAATTTTGTATTTTAAGGTTAGAAAAATCTATTTTGACCAAAATAAATAAGTGAATTATTTGGAAGAGTGTGTTAATATGGTCATAAATAAATATAGGTATACTAAATAATTGTTGAATATGGTTCAAATTAAATTGAGGCTTTTATACTTCTAATGACAAAACTTATGCATACCTCTTGGTATACCTACTTTAAGTTAGATTATAAGAAAACAAACAATTTTTAGAGAAAGTTGCAATGTGAAAATATTTAATACTCCCATGAAATGTGATTTATTAAAATTTTTAAAGATTTTTAGGTGTAGATCAAATTCAGTCGAATCTTTTTAACTATTTGTATTGACAAAACTTTATGTAGGTACACTTTAAGCTAGAGAAGAAAAACTACCACATTTTTAAATACCATATTATACAGTCTTTTAAATAATCCAAAATACTTATTTATTTTGGTCAAAATAGATTTTTCTAACCTTAAAATTACAAAATTAGATGATATTTTTGTTATAATATATTAACCTACCTTTAATACAGAAAACCAGATTGGTCCAAATGCACAAAAATATTACCTATTTGGCACCATACACTTTAGAATTTCATTAAATGCAGTATTTATATTCTTAAATTCTTAAACCATCCATTGTTATTGTAATGTTGTAAAGATTTATACATTTTAACGCCTAAACATAATATTATTTCTTTCGTTGACTATACTTTGACAGATACATAACCTGAAAAGCCTTAAATGCCAAATTTTCAAAAGACTGCGTTCCGTACGTGGTCACGTGGTGGGACTTTGAGGTGTGGAGCATAGTACCTGTGTCTATAATTTGAAGGAAATGTATTAATTGCATTGTAGATTGTCCTGCAGGTACAGTATCTAGTATTTTAGGAATGAGGTCCTAAAAATATACATATACAATTTACAATTTTTTATATTTACTTTGTGATGAGGTACCCTGTTAAAATTGTTGGACTCAACTCCAATCACCGTCTCCCATATATACAAGCACAAATCTTTAAACCCATTTAAACTACACGTTGATTTATATGAATTTTGTTCTTTTTCTTCACTAAAACTCAACATGAACTCAAAGAAATTCATCCTGTTCATTAATATCTAAAACAAAGTTAAAATATTTTTTTATAATTTTAGTTTAAGTTAAAGTGATAAAACGTTACTATGATGATAAAAATACTGACAATATAATATGATGATAAGCTTAAACATTTTAAAATTCCACGAGCCTAAATGAAGCTAAGGTTGGTTAAATATGACAATTTAAAAAAAAGTCAAAATGACCCACAACATTATTTTCATATTTTACTTACATTCAACGTTCTATATAGAGGAGCAAACCTAATGAGCGCTAAATTTTTGGTGTTATTTAAAAACACAGGTGGTGCTAACATTACAGCCACACTGATTTTAGCTTGGTACTGTGGTCTCTCAGACCCCATAACGAAAAACACTGTCGTTCCTTGGGAATGACCCACATAAGCTGCCTGAGGTTTATTTGTTGTATTCAAAACGTGGTCTATTACTGCTGGTATATCGTATTTTCCAATTTCATGCCAACTGAAGAATAACAAATTGTACTATTTATTTTGAAAATCGACGACTTTTAATTATGAACCATGGCCAAATTTCCAAAAATCTTTAGTTAAAGTATTTCAGTGAAAAAATTTATATAGGGAACTAGGAATTCGAATGTTCCCATATAAAAAACTGTTTTTTCATAATATCAAGAAAACAAGAACTGATTGAGCAAAATGTTAAAGTGCACTCTGCCTGAAAATGCCTGATGACCGGTGTAATAATTACCTAAATTTCCAAAAGTCGCTATCCGATTTTTTCAACCACTTGTGCTTGTCTGAATAGTGAGTTCCCCTGGCATTTGGCATCCAGACATCATATCCCAGGTCAGCCAACAGGCAGGGGAGACTTGAGTTTCTTCCCGCGTAAATCCAGTTATCTGCACTTGTTATCAAGCCATGCATTAAAATGACCGGATCCAAATTTGGGTTGGGTTTTCCCCTCGCAGGAACTCTGTGGACGCCAATGATGTAGCCATCTTCTGTTACCACAGAGTGAGTTTCGATCGGATAGCCGTGTTCGATAAAAAATTCCTCCTAAATTAAGAAAATGTAACTTTAATTTTATACTTTTTTGCTTTTTAGTACATTTTGAACTGCCTGTATCTAGTCTAGTGTGTTGGGTCAAATTTTACAACCTAAACATCAAACTTATGGAAATTGTCAAAACATGGACCTTATGCAGAAGCGTTGTTTTATTTATATCAACTGATTTATTAGCAGTATTTTTCTTTGAAATAAATTGGGTAATTATCTTTCAACGTTTAAATTTTTCCTAAAAAGTCGATTTCTTTACAATGACATTTTAAATTAGACATAAAACAATTAAAATTTCATCAAGATTTATTTGTCATTTGTGACATTTGCTTTTAGCCATAGAAAATAATTTCCCTAATATAAGTCATGGTATACCAGATTTGTTTTTTGGCCAATAAAATCATTTAAAATGTACAGTTGTATTCATTAAAAAAGCGTACAAGAATTAGAATGAGAGAAAACTGTCAACATTATTGCGTAAAACCGGCTTTCCACTGACTTAAGTCACTATAACTGACAGAAGAAAATAAAAATGCCTCGTCAGTTAAAAAGGCTCAAATAGTATCAAGAATCGAAGAAGAATGGTCAATTCGTACTGTGGTATAATAGAAATAAAAAATCTATATTAAAAATTAAGCAACGCTGGGAACAGGAAGATTTACTAAACCAAAAAGTTGGTTCAGGTCGTCCCAAAATGTCCACCCCTGAACAGGTTGCTGCTTTTTTGAGATATCTGAGGATTTATGGGAAACTATACAACTATACTATACTGCTGGGAAGATATTAATCCAAATATTGTATTAAATTTAATTCAGTTCATCCCAAATAGATTGGCTCAAGTAATAGAAAAACAGGGATGCATGACAAAAATATTACATTTTATTATTATTTATCATGTTTGTTTTTTCATTATTAAAAGGTAATAATTTTTGTAATATTATTTAACCCCTTCAGACCTGGTGTACATTCAGATGTACATTAGCTTTTTAGTAATTTATTTACTATCAATAGGCATTAAATTTCATTTGGAACCTAGTTTTCACCCTCAAGTACATTTGTTTTGGTAAACTAAGGTACATTTTGCGACTTCTCTTACTTAAACTGCCCCTTTTAATTGAAAATTCTCTCATATAATGGAGATGCGCATAATGACAGCAACAACTCGTTGACGACAGTTTGTCTTAGCGGGTCTTTAGATGATTTGTAAAGATATTTTTTAAGTATACACTGGTGTAGTTTGTTCCTAAGGGTATGTACTAAGACATGTAAAAACTATTTTGGTATTATCCACACCTAAACCGTATAAAACATTCGATGTACATGCTTGTGAACATCCTGAAATTATCCTGAAATTTCACAATTAAGATTTTTTAGCATCAAATATGTGTTATTTAGGTCCTAATACGATAGATTTAAGAGCCATTTATTTTTTTTTATCGTCGTAAAATAGTTCAGGTCTGAAGGGGTTAATTAACCTACGACGTCAATGCTCTTTATAACCTATAATAATAATTTTAATGACTTATGTCAGTGATAAGCCGGTTTTAAGCAATAATATTATTTTGACAGTTTTCTCTCATTCTAATTCTTGTACGCTTTTTTATTGAATACAACTGTACATAGGTTAATATAATTTATATCAGTCGTTAACGTTATTTTTGTTTGTAAACATATATGAAAAAATAAATTCAGAAGGTAAACATACATATAAAAAAGATATAATTAAAAAATAACATTTTTTAAAGATAAAATTACTATCATGTTAATTATATCAAATATCTGCTGTTTTTTGTCTGATTGAAAAGCTGAATGCTTGAAATCAATTGATTTATAACTTTCTTTGGTTTAATTGTAAAATAATTACCCCTAACATTAAACTTGGGTGAAAATATTTTTTGATTATTTTTTTATTATTTAAAATATACACACCTTCCATAAATATTTACATTTTAATATAATACCTAGATAATTAAAAAAAATACTATTTAATAAATAATAAGGATTATAAAATATAACCAAAATTTTGTTTAAAAAATATTTGTTTTATTTTTTAAATACTTTTAAACAATTTTAAATTTTAGACCATGTTCAACTTATTTTCTTCTTTTAAGTTTTTCAATTATGTGCTTGCTCTTCAAATAGAAACAGTAGGTTTTGGGTAAAGGGCTATGTACTATTAAACATAAAAGAAAATGAAATGAAGGGACAACAACATGGGTATTTCAAATTAAATATACATATTATAATATTATTAACAGTTTTTGCCAATAATACAAGTTTAAGGCATTTTATAAGAAAATAAAAATACTCCCTCTAGGTAAAAACAATTGTTTTTACTCGAAAGCAAAAACAGGCATGAAACTATTTTTTTTATATTTTTGGTTCAAATTGTTTTTATCATTTGTAATATTTATTTGACACATAATTAAAAATATGATCTGAAACAATATTTTTATTTTTAAAATAAAATACTCAGGGTAAAAAAATCTGGAAAAGAACTGCAACAGTTAAATTTTTAAATTTGCTTTATTAAAGTAAGAGTTTTTAAAATATTTTTTAATATAAATTATTTAAAAAACAAAGTCCATAAGGCATGCATAATTTTTTTCATTAGGTTTAATTTAATTTAGAAAAGCAGGGATAGCCAATTATACATTAGTTAATTTTAGATCTTTTCACAAAACATGTAGCTTCTTAATTTTTAACCAACCACATTAATTGTTAAAATGATAATAATGATGAATAATAACCATAAAAACGTTATTTAAATAAAAACTGAAAACAAAATACTTACAATCCCCGGGGTAAAATCACTCTTATTTTGGGTAAATGCATTTCTTACACACATGGAACCAATGATTACTATATAAATGGTTTTATATAACATTGTTTCACATTTATTTCTATTAAATTTAGTAATTAGGTACAAATGTTATTATTCAATGCGTATACTTTCAGTAATGGTCCGTCTTATAAACAAATAATTCAATATACAGTGAGTCACGAAAATAGTCTAGAAAACTTAATATGAGTGTAGGTTGGCTAATGGCCCCTACAGTCTCTTAAAGGGTCGCCCCTAAAAATGTTTTTTATTATTATTTTCGAAACGGGTTGAGATTAAATAATATATTTTTTGGACATATATGTATTTTATAATATTATTTCTGGTCAAACCTATTGAATTAAAAAAGAAAAAAGAATATATTTTTAATTTGTTATTTTATTTTTTATTAGAAAATGGTACATTTTATCGATGTTCAACAAGAGTATAGTCACGGCCAAATCTATATGGGTGCACGTCATCAATGAGATATAATGACGTCAGCATTACCAACTTTGAATTGTAAAGTTACTGCCGTTAAATTTGCTTTTTTAAGGCGTAATTCTGATGTGTTATTAAAAAGAAATCATTCATTTGCGTATTGTTTACCAAAAACTGTAACAATTTCCTTGTTTTAAAACGTTTTTTCACGAAATTATCAAAATAAAACCATTCACTTAGTAATTTTTGTGTGTGCCAGTTGGTAATAGCTTAAGGCTGGCGCGCACCGTTCAATATTATTTATGGGTCGCTGTCATTTTATATTTGACGTATTTTTGTAATTGTGACATTTCGTCCGGAAGCATCGTTTGTTGCAAATTATTATAAATAATATTATACATTATGTTTATAAGATTCTATCCCTGGATTGTGCAAACAATGATATAAGGCTTGTTGGCAACTAGCCGTTATTAGATTTCGAAGGCATTGCGCCCTTAATAATAAATTTGGGGAAATAATCAGACTTCAATTCGCCTGTAACAAACTCCTAATTAGTTAGTGCAGAAGATTATAACAAGGATGTTATAATTCCATCTTAATAACAGCCCCCACCGCTATAAACAGTCAACAATACACGAGCGTTAGATTGTGTCTGGGCACGTATGAATAGACCTTAACGCTGACGTCATATGCCATTGATGACGTGCACCCATACAGATTTGGCCGCGACTATACGATTTTTACGTGGATTACTCTATTTTTGATTTTACAATCAACTTCCAAAAAAACACAAAAAATTTTAAATTTTGTTTTCATTTTTAAATTCAGCACAAAAAGTTAAGTGAGCATGAGCATTAGTGACAATTTTTCTTTCTATTTTTGTCTTGTAAAACCACGTGAAGAGGATTGCATATTATTTATGAGACATCCTGTATATTGAGTCCATATGTTTCCTATTTAGTAAAAAGTCCATCTTTATTTTGTAGTAATTATGTTAATAATAACAAACATATACATTTTTAAAAACCTTATTAAAATATGGGCAAATTAATTTTGATATTGAATTTGGAAATAAAACAAAACAAAAATATTTTATAGAATGTCGTGTCAAATAGCTATTTTACGCTACTTTATCATAATATAAGAGCTCTGTAAAAGTAAAAGTAATGAGAAAAGTGGTTTAACATGATTCATATTTTAGATTACCAGTTTGATAATTTATTTTGGTTGTAATAGTATATTATTATACAAGAGATAATAATAATAATTAGATTAACTAATGCGCATAATCTTGAATGTAATACTCCAATAGGTAGATAACTAGATATAGTTGCCTTTTTCCAATTTAAAACCCGATTGGTTCAAATCATATTGAAATCGGCCAATCCCTGATGCCTAACAACGTAAATAATAAAGTCATTATTCCGCTGTTATGCAGGGAATTAATGTTTATCATTATTCAAAAGACAATAGTATCGAATAAAATCGTATAAGCTTGCATTGTATGACTTAAATGTAAAAATGTTTACGAAAATTTACCGTTTTTACAAAATAACATATCATTTAACATTATTGTAAACATGTAAAAAATGTAATTACCAATTATAAGCCAGACTGGACACAAATACCAATCATGTAATAATTGCTAATATTTAAAATATATTTATAGGTATTAAGAAAACATATTTATTTAAATTAGTAATTGACATTATCAATGTCATCTTTTTCTATATGTATGTATATACTGTTTACTGCCAAAGTGTCATACACGATGTTTACAAAAAACATAACATACTACAGGGGTTGATGGATAAAGGTGTTAACTGATTTTTATGCAAAGCAGAATTATTATTTAGTTACTTAGTTTCCAACTTTTTTCATAGTTTTCCTCACATCTAGGCATCGTTGAAATAGATTCAAGCTTAGGCAAATTTTAATTGAACTGAACTTGGAAACTAAATTTATATGCCTAGTATGTACAAATTAATTACACACGTATTTACTAAATTTTTAGTGAATGCCCAGCTTTAAAATTAATAATTATTATTATAATAATTATTGCTTGGCACTGAGTTGATAATTAATTTGTATAAGATAACTTGCCACTTTGTTTTTTATGTTGCTAGGCCTTAAAGCAATTATACCTTAAATTTAATACACCAAAAAATTCCAATTAAAAGAAATATTTTGTTGCAAAAATGGCGAATGCGCCGGGATTAATTGTTAAATCTTCTATACAGGGTCGTTCAAAAGGAACCTTAAATAATTTTATTGTGAAATTTAACGAAAAAACTTTCTTTTTTAAACTGTTGAGTTTTTGGTATAAGTTTATGGGGAAAATTAATTTTACTTTAACGTTTTTTATTGAATTAAGATTTATATTTAAAACGTGTTATTTTTGTAATGACTCCATTGAAAACTTTTCAAAATTGAGTCGTTTGATAAAAGTGTTATATTTTTATACATCTGGTACCATCATAAAAATAAATAGTGACCTGTAAGAAGCTTCAAAATACCGTTCAAATGATATGTCACATGACCCACTGGTATTTTTTTAAATTGGTAGAGGACGCCTTTTAATTTTTTTACTCCATACATGTCAAAAAGCGTAACCTTCCAAATTTTTAAAATAAAATTGTTAAGTGTTAATCATTAAATGCGATTTTTTTGTTATAGTTTTGGATACACCCTGTATAAAGTCTGAAAAATTAGAAGTTAGTTATAATCAGCTTGCAAAGACTTTTTAACGATGTATCACATAACCTTTTGACATTACGACGCCATTTTGATTTCTTTTTAAAAATTGGTTATGTCAAAAATTAGTACTACACTGCGCGTCAAATGAAATTTTATATAAAAATACTTTAACTTATATCTCAGTTTACGTGTTCGATGTTTTAAAAAAAAATATTTTAAAGGCCGTATTTTTGTTAGTATACCCGGGTCCGGTTGGTATACATGCCCCCGAAGTATAACAAAAACTTAAGCTGTTTTCATTGTTTACTTTGTCTGTGGCAGCCGCTAAGGTTAGACGTGTTTTATGAGCTCGGTGATTTTCGTCCGTTAAAAGAAATGGATCAAAAAAAATTTGTATCCAATTTTGATTAAAAAATGAAATAAATTCTGTAAAATGTTAACAAAGGCCTATAGTGAGTCTGCTATAAGTAAAACAAGTGGTATAAGAGTTTTCAAGATGGCCATGAACACGTTAAAGATGACGAACGCCCCGAACGCACAAGCACGTTAACAACTGATAAAAACATGGAAAAAGTGGAAGAAATGGTTATAAACCATCAGAGAAGTCGCTGATGATGTTGGTATATCGATTGGCTCATCCCATGAAATTTTTCCAAATTAGAAATCTAATCTGATCATCATGCTTGAACTAGCCAAAAAAAATTAGAGGTCTTTTATAAACTTTATAAAAAACTATAAAATTCGGATTTCCCATGCGTTGCTTTAAAAAACGAACACCTTGTATGTGAGGGGTCCAGACCCCCCAAAATCAGGAAAAAAAATGGTTTAAAATAAGATTTTATTAAAAGAAAAGCTATACAATTTTTATTTATTTTATATGAGCATATTGACCAATAAGTTTAACAACTCTATCAAAAATCATAGTAACAACATTATTGGCAACTAAGAAATCCAAATGGGTCCAATTTGGATAAGGAACTTCGTATTTATCAACCAGATTGGGTAGAATTTTGGCAAGGTGTAGTACATCCTAAAATAAGAAAGTTAACGATTTTTTTTTTATATTTAAGTAAAATGAAATGACATATTTTCATAGGAATTGAAAAAATTGGAAATTTAAAATTATTACTTTCTTGTCATTGACAATATCATCTTTGGAATAAAATAAAGCTATTGGTGTGGATATGTTTAAATTGTATCTGGGAGGAGTTGTGGAGTTATATATTTTCATATTTTTCTTTGGGCCATAATCATATTGCATAAACTCTCCTAAAATTCAAATATTTGTTTTTTTAATATTGGCACTACCTTTTTGCTTTTTAATATGTACATTACCTGTGGCCATACTTTGACTGTAATGTATTATTTGCATAGTAGATTGTCCTGCAGGTACAGAGCCTAGTATTCTAGGAATAAGGTCCTAAAAATACATCAACATAAACAATTTACTTTTCTTTTATAATTTGTTAGTTATGATGTACCCGGTTGAAATTCTTTGACTCGGGTCCAGTGATCAAACTCAATATTTCTAGGCAGAAATCTGTCCATCCGTTTGGACTACACATTGACTTAAAAAAATTTCTTACATTTTCGTCACTTATTCCAAACTTAAATTCGAAGAAATTAAGCGTGTTCATTATTCTCTACAACGTGATTAAAATAAATCCAAGAAAAAAAGACCCACAAAATAATGTTCATTTTTTACTTACATCCATGGTTCTGTACAAAGGAGCAAACCTAGTGAGCGCTGGATTTCTGGTGTGATTTAAAAAAACAGATGGTGCCAACATTACGGCCACACTGATTTTAGGTTGGTACTCTGGTCTCTCGGACCCCATAACGAAAAACACTGTTGTTCCTTGTGAATGACCCACATAAGCTACCTGAGGTTTGTTTGTTGTATTCAAAACGTGGTCTATTACTGCTGGTATATCGTATTTTCCAATTTCATGCCAACTGAAGAATAACAAATTGTACTATTTATTTTGAAAATCGACGAATTTTAATTATGAACCATAGCCAAATTTCCAATAATCTTTAATTAAAGTATTTCATTGAAAAAAATTATAAAGGGACCTAGGAATTCGAATGTTCGCATATAAAAAACTGTTTTTTAACAATATCAAAAAAACAAGAACTGATTAAGCAAAATGTTATAGTCCACCTTGCCTCAAAATACCTGATGATCAGTGTAATAATTACCTAAATTTCCAAAAGTCACTATCCGATCTTTTCAACCACTTGTGCTTGTCTGAATAGTGAGTTCCCCTGGCATTTGGCATCCAGACATCATATCCCATGTTAGCCAAAAGACAGGGGAGGCTTGAGTTTCTTCCCGCGTAAATCCAGCTATCCGCACTTGTTATCATGCCATGCATTAAAATAACCGGATCCAAATTTGGGTTGGGTTTTCCCCTCGCAGGAACTCTGTGGACGCCAATGATGTAACCATCTTCTGTTACTACAGAGTGAGTTTCGATAGGGTAGCCCTGTTCGATAAAAAAGTCCTCCTGCAATAATAAAATGGAATTTCATCTGAATGGCTTGTGCTGGTCAAAGTCAAAAAGTTTTATCTTAATTTTGAATCAACTTTATTATTGTATTAAATTATAAATAAATTTTACTTACCATATTAATTTCAGGTCCCATTACGTCTTGAGAAAATATAACTTGAAAAAAATTCGACCCCACGCTAATTAATAACAAAATATATTTTCTATGCATTATAATAACCAAATAAATTTTCTTCCTTATTTTAACTTTTTTGAATACATATTATTACTTTGTATTTTTTTATAATTTAAACCTTTATTTCCGGAATGTATTGGGGTTTTTTCAATCACTGTGTATGTTTTAACTGTAACAGAAATTGTCATTTTGGTATTACTTTTTTGTAAACTTAAATAACGAAAATAGGACATAAAATATTCACAAATAATTTAAACAGTATAGCTAAATAACTTACTATTTACTTAAGTTTCTTTTGCAGTTATAGTTTTAAAATAAACATTTTAAGTACTTATTACTTGTACCTGACCTATTTTATTATTTCATATATCGAAGTAGGTCAGGTACAAGAAATACATATGTAATCATGTATATCTTATTAATTTAAGTGGCATTATTAAAAAAAAATTAATTAATGACAATAAATATGTTTTAATAAAAACTATATATTTTTTCTTTTTTGCCAGATGAAACAACATTTTTTATCCAATAAATTTTCGCTATTCATTTATCAATATAAACACAAAAACTACATTGATTTAAAACTGAAAAAAATTACTTACAACACACTGGGTGGAATCACAGATTTCTTGAGTGAATTTTTAACACAGACCAATTATTACTATGGAAATGATTCTAATAAATACATTTACTTTTATTTAATTAGTGATTATATTAATATTAATGCGTATATTTGTATGATGTTCTCATAAATAAATAAACCATTATTTATTGGGTCCATATAGTTTTTTTATTGGAGTAAAAAGTCCATATTTTAATTGCCATTTTAATAAATGTATATGGAATCACCCAGTAATTATTTAAAAAAATTGATTTGAAAATAAAAAGCAGAACCAATTTTATCACAAAAATAAAGAAACATTTTTTAAAACAAATTTTCTAGACAACAAATTACAAAAAATAAATAAAAAACTTTAAACTTTACTTAACGGATTGTTGATCCTGTATATTTTTTTTATTTTAAAATTATTGGTCAGAAATAAAAACTCTTAATGTATTACTTTTTAACGTTATTATAATTATCACCGGTATCATCAGTATTAATATCTAAATTATAATTATATTTTTTCATAAGATCAAAAACTTCCATATAAACCAGCGTTTTGACGTCCTTGGCTACGATAAAGTCGAAGTGTGTGAATTGCTTGTAGGGAACTTCATACATTTTCACAACATTCGGGAGAACCTTGGATAATTTCGTAACGTCCTAAAAAAGTTTAAAAAGTATTTATAGAAATCTGCTATGCTGGAGATTTTTTGCTCTCACCCTAACATCGTTGAGCATGTCATTTTCCGCATAAAATAGGCCAATTGGTGTTGAAATATTTAGGTTGTAATCAGGGGGTATCGTTGTATTATATCTCCTGCGGTTTTCGCGTTTGCCAAAGTCATACTGTCTAAATTTTCCTGGAAAAAATAAATCAAAAATGTTAATTTTTAACCATTTAGTTAAAATATTATTTAAAAAATATATTTGGCCGCGACTATACGCTAAACAAGTATCGAGTTTTTAAAGCATACGAACTGTACATCATTTTAAAATAAATAGGTAGTTTTTTCTGACAAATTTTGTTCAATTCCACAGCTAAATCGCTCACGTTATTTGTGTTTTCCGTTGCAAGGAAAAAACTAAAAAACTGGTTTAGTACTCGATTTCGATTGATTATTCTTTACATCATTGATTAAGAAACTCGACGCTTAAATGCTTATATAGTTACGTTAGTGTGTGTGTTTTATCTAAGGGCTCATGGTGAATTATTGTGTTTTTAATTGTAAATAAAATTCAAGAACTTAATCGTTGCATTTTCATGTTTTGCCAAAGTATCCAGTGGCGGCCCGTCAGGGAAGGCAGGCGAGGCAGTGCCTCATTATAGAGTATAATTTAAATATGTTACTTTCTATAATATACTATAAATTTTCTATATTTGGATTACATGAATTGTGAAATAGTCAATAAAATTGATTGATTGTATACGTAGAATACCCAGCAACATTTAAATTATTTGAATTTGAAACGACCGCAATTTAAACTAATATTTATAGCTAGATGATTGGCTCAGAAGCATGCCTGAACTAATTTAGACTCACGATTGGCGTTAGCCTTGCTGTCTCGTTCTATTACAATGCGATATCATAGTTGTCTTCTTCTCTTGTATTAGCATACGCGAGGGCACGCCTACATCCAAGGAAATAAGCAGGTGTTGTGGCAACACTGTTGCGGAATTTTAAATAAATTATACTTCACGTTTTTCAAAGTTCAATAATAAAGGGTATTATTTTTCTTATAATAAATCTATTTAATCGAAATTATATTTCCATTCTAAAATAAACATATTTTAACACTATCGCCATCTTGTAGCTATCCCAGTAACCAATAAAATAAATACAGATTCCTTCTTTAGGTTTGTTTTGGTTATAAAATTCTGAACTGTTTAAAGAAAAAATCTGTGGTTATTTACGCAATATTTAGTTTATTCTTTTTCTATGAGTTTGTCTATTTTATGATTCTTTGGTAAGTGGTTTATTCTGTGGGTTTAGTTAATTGAACTTGGTGATTTATGTGAATTTAGTCATTATGGATATTACGGTGAGAAATTGTACCTATATTGTAAACGTCATTTTTACAATAAAATATATTTCATTGACAAAGTAGAGGATTCCTACCCCACCACAAATTTATAAATTTTTTTAAAAACTTGTTACCTGTTACAATTTCCTGAGCATAATGTAAAGCCTGTCTAGCAGATGACCCTGCAGGAACTGTGGCAGTAACTAGGGGAATAATTTTCTAAAAATTAAAAAAAAATATGTTTAAGGTTTAATAATACTATACTTTATCTACTCCAATAAGTAGATAATTACATAATTTTCAAAAATATTTAAATAGAATCTGACATCTGTCAAATGGCAGGGAATATATAATGTTTATTATTATTCACGAAAAAACAAAATGAGAAAAAAAATATAGTTGCTAATTTTGAAATTCATTATACCTTTAGGAAGCAAATACCATAAACAGTATTTATCGATAATTTTTTATAATAATCAATTACTATGCAAAAGGATATAACTGTAGGTGATACTTATTTCAGGGCCAAATAAATGCAATTAATTAGGTATATGAAAAATGTAATAAATCATGATGAAATTAATTTCCATTGTGCATATCTACAAAGTTTCCTTTAATAAAGTAATTGAGTATAATTGCAGCCTTCTGCACAGAAAATTATTAAATTATACCAAATTAAATCGTTACCTTGTCTAACTGCTCAGGAGCAAATCCGATCAACATAAACATCAAGTTTGAACACAAATCCTGCAATCGGCCGGGTTTCGAGCATAAAAATTTGAACATGTACCTTATTGCGTCGTTAGATACGAAGGGGATGAACTCGTGTTGGTTCGTTTGAAGTACCAACCTCTAGAAAAAAATACGTTTACACGGAGAGAAAAGTATAATGCTGATTACCATAATTATAATACCCTTTACTATAATTTATATTACTATTTGGGACAACTATCTTGTATATTGCAGATACTATGCATATTTAGTAATTTTTAAATATCCATGTATGTTAAACCTTAAGGTAAAATATTATTATTCTCAACCAATTTTGTTTTTAATTCTTATTATAATTAGATTTTTTCCATTACTAATAAGTATAATAAATTTTAAAATATTATGTTGCCATTTTAAATATAAAATATTTTAAAATCGAATATTTTTATATGTTAACAATTAAAAATTGTAACATATTTATTGTACTTTTTAATATACAAAAATGTTATGAGAAAGAATTGAACCTACACCTCGCCAAAGTTTTTTGTTTTGAGTGGGTTCCATCAACTTCAAATACCGACCTATATTGGGTATCATCAGTGTCGACACGACACTGTCGAGCAACTTGTAGTATAGTACACTATAGTGGAACGCACCCAAAACAAAGAAATACCTGAGCTTATATAACATGGTCGGTAAGCTAACAGAGGCGAGATGTAAGAACATCACGTGATCCACACCGTCTAACGACGCGTCGCGACGTGGCCTTTGCCGCAATCGGTACATACTATGCAACCAAGTAGGTTCAATTCTTTCTTACTAGTATTACCAGGAATGGGTCAAGAAAGTTTATTAAAGAAACTAAGAAAATTGAATGATTAAAATGTCATGAGTTACCATATTGTATAAAGTGCTCTTTTAGTTCCACCCTTACATCCAAACTAAGATGTCCCATAAGCCAGCTGAATGGCTTGTGCGGGTTAGGGGTAGGAACGGACCGACGGCTTAAAGTCCCCTCCGAAGGACTATACACAATGGACAAACACAAATAAACAACCATACCCAAGTGGGATTCGAACCCACGACCTCTCGGCTCGTACCCAAATTCCAAATTCCAAATTCCAAAGTAATTTATTTAAAAATAATACATTATAAATTTTGTAAACAGCCTAACTATAAAAGGTATAAAGGTATAAAGGGGATTTAGAGAATTTAGAGAGTTTAATAATTTTGAGGTAATCCTGACAAGGATATGTGGTCGAAAGGGGGAGATATGAAAAAAGTGTGAAGTGAAAAAATGGGTGAAATGTAAAATTTTGAGGTGACAGGAAGGTTAAAACTTGAGTAATTAACCTCCCTGTCTGAGCTTTATACCGCATAGAGGCCCAGTTTATTATAATTACTCAGTGCTATTCCGCTTTTACTCGCATGGCGATTTTGGAGCTCTGACCACTACACCACCGAGGCCTCGCGAGGCCGGTATATTATATTTAAATATATTGTTTATTTACCTTAAACATAAAATTATCTTTATTTTTACTATATTTTTTATTAATGTATAATATATTATAATATTAGATGTACACCTTACATTTGATTAAATCATATAGTAAATATTACTATTTGTAGATAGTTAAATCAATTTACTATACGAACATATTAAAAATTAAAATATATATTATACATTTATGATTTAGTAATAATTTTTAGTAAAATTGTATAATAAAAAATTGTATTTTGTATTACAATCTTAATATTGTATTGACGAATATATAATATTGTTACCCTAAAAATGTATTAAAGTAAATTTTACTATATTTTTTTACTATCTAAAATTTACTATACATTTCTCTCCGTGTACCTTCTATTAGTAACTAAACTTAAAATAAAAACACTTACATCCCAGTACCTGTAATACTTGGAGACCGCCCTTAAAATTGGGTGCTTGGTGTGCTCTAAGAAGACAGAGGGCGCCAATGACATGCTCAGACGGATCTTCGATTGGTATTCCGGGCGTTCTGAGGCCATCACGAAAAACACGGTGGTACCTTGGGAGTGACCAGCGTATATCAGGTCCGGCTTTCCTGTGCTCTCCAGTATGTAGTCGATGCAAGCAGGAAGGTCGTATTTGCCGATCTCGTGCCAACTGTAATAACAACAACAATAGCGATCATTTTTTTAACATAAATGTTATGATTATGCTTAATAATTTTACGTTTTTCATGATCATTTAGTTAAACTCGTTTATCAATATAAATATATATATATATATATATATATACAGGGTGATTCACCTAACTTATTCATTAGAAGTTTATGGAGAACGGAAAAAGATATCGATTTGAAATTTGTATAGCCATTATAAGCCAATGTAAACTACTGTTTAAAATTATTTTCAATGCGTTATCACTTCCGGTTAAACCGGAAGTGATATTAACTTTGGTTTTTCAAATGGAACCATATAAATATTATTGCATTTTTGAATTCTACGTAAAATTCTAGAAATACTAAAATTTGATTATTATTTTTATTTTTAACAGTTTTTGAGATATTTAATTTTTTTTAGAAATTTTGACAGATGGATTGTCTTACTAATATGTCTGTATTACCTCTAATTGTAATGTTAAAAAGTTAATTTTTGGTGTAACAATTAACTAAGGAGCACTCTATCGAAAGCCATTAATAGTATTTGAAAATTTTATACAGGGTGTCCGGTATTTACGTTGACTTTTTTGTCACTTAAAATACCAATAACTTTCTTATTTCAAATGAAACTACCATACAATTTTCATATTATTGGACACAAAATAATGTTTTCTATTGAAATGCTGCAGCATTCCCTATACCTAAAATCAATATTTACAGAGATGTTACAAAAAATGTGAAAAAACCGCTTATTTTTTTATTTCTAATATGAGTAGTGTGCGTTGGATTGTCTTTTATTTCGTATTTATGAAGTAATGTCAATGTCAACGTCTCTGACAATTGTGTTGAATATTGGAATTCGACGGTAAGCGCATTTTTATATGAACTGCCTTTAAGCGAAAGGTTTCTTTGCTGGTACCAATTGGATGGCGCGCCAGCACATTGTTCTAGAAGAGTTTCGGAAAATTTGCAAATATTATTTAACGAAAAATGGATTAGAGGAGGTGGTCCATGGGAATGGCCTCCAAGGTCACCGGACCTAACACCTCTAGATTTTTATCTTTGGGGTGTTATAAAAGCTAAAGTTTATCAAACACCCAGCAACAGCAAAGAATCTCTTGCTCAGAAAGTGAGACAAGCGTTTTCGGAATTGTCCCATGAAGAAATTTTGAGAACAACTTCTGAAGGTGTCTTGCGACGTATCAATATGTGTCGTGAACAACAAGGGCGATACATTGAACAATTACTTTAGATTTGTTTTATTTGTTACATTTGTTTATTTTTTCAATATAATTTTTGAATTTTAAATTGATATTTCTTTTAACGTTGTTTAATACGAAATAAAAACAATCCAACGCACAATACTGATTATACACATTAAAAGTTCCTATTGTTCTTTCTAAAACTTTTCTTTTTTGATTAGTGTAATTATTATCATCCATTGTAACACAATTGTCAGAAACGTTGACATTGACATTACTTCATAAATACGAAATAAAAGACAATCCAACGCACACTACTCATATTAGAAATAAAAAAATAAGCGGTTTTTTCACATTTTTTGTAATATCTCTGTAAATATTGATTTTAGGTATAGGGAATGCTGCAGCATTTCAATAGAAAACATTATTTTGTGTCCAATAATATGAAAATTGTATGGTAGTTTCATTTGAAATAAGAAAGTTATTGGTATTTTAAGTGACAAAAAAGTCAACGTAAATACCGGACACCCTGTATAAAATTTTCAAATACTATTAATGGCTTTCGATAGAGTGCTCCTTAGTTAATTGTTACACCAAAAATTAACTTTTTAACATTAAAATTAGTGGTAATACAGACATATTAGTAAGACAATCCATCTGTCAAAATTTTTTAAAAAAATTAAATATCTCAAAAACTGTTAAAAATAAAAAAAATAATTGAATTTTATTATTTCTAGAATTTTACGTAGAATTCAAAAATGCAATAATATTTATATGGTTCCATTTGAAAAACCAAAGTTGATAACACTTCCGGTTTAACCGGAAGTGATAACTTATTGAAAATAATTTTAAAAAGTAGTTTACATTGGCTTATAATTGCTATACAAATTTCAAATCGATATCTTTTTTCGTTCTCCATAAACTTCTAATGAATAAGTTAGGTGAATCACCCTGTATATATATATATATATATATACAGGGTGTCCTGAAATTAGTGCACCATACTTTAACAGCAGATTCTACGTGCAAAAATAAGAAAAAAGTCCCTATAAATATAGGTCGAGAAATGCCTCCTAAGGGAGCTACAGCCCCCGAAAAGGGAGCCCCTGAAGATGGTTTTTATCCAATATATATAAAAAAGTAAAAACACCCTGTCACTTACTACATGAAACTGTCACCTGTCTTAAATTATTCTATTTTTTCCTAAACATGGCAGCCGTATTCCAAGGACCACGCGAGTCCATTTCTATGGTTGTGATTTAATTGTGAATTTTTATGCCATGTAAAATAATTTTCAAATCGATTTTATGCGAAAACGGTGTATGTTATCGAAGTTCAACAAGATGACCTTTTTTATGTGCAAAACTCTAAAATTTTATAATCTGACACCAAATTCTGGTACAAGATACGTACAAAAAAGTTAAGGTGGCTTTAACCCTACTTCCTATCAATCTGACCCAATCCACATACAAAATTTTAAATTGTTATTGTTACGTCTTATTGGTCATAAAAAGTTTAATTAATTCCCCAAATTTCATTTTTAATAAAATACCTCATTTAAGTTAATAAAAAAAACATTATTTTGTCAATTAATCAATTTAATCCTAATTGAGGTATAAAAAATGGTATTTAGTTATAAATAATAATTATTATTGAGGTATAAAGAAACTATTTATACATAGCTTAGCATTATTTAGTTCGAAGATTAATTTGCAAACAAAAAGACCTCCTTTCGTTTAGCAGTTATTCGTAATGGATTTTTTTAACAGTGGAAGAAAAAATGGAAATGATTTTGATTTATGGAGAAGCAGGCAGGAATCTTGAAGATGCTGTTAATATCTACGCTCAGCGTTTTCCGGATAAAATTCGATCATGTACTTCATTTCACCGTACAGTCAAGCAGTTTACTACAAACGGAAGTGTTCAACCAAAAAAAAGAATTCGTCGAGCAATAATAATAATAGAATTAATAATAATAATAATAATAATAAATGTCTTTATTTATTTTTTACGTTACTAAGATTACAAAATTAACAAATTTAATTGTTTCTTCTGAAAATATACCTATTTAATGGGTGGCTGGGCTGGGTTTGTAAAAGTTAACGTTCTTTTTAAAAAGGTCGTTATCCTGAAAATAACTTTTTTTCTAAAAAATTCATGCAATCAAATTTAGTATTAAGGGTAAGTGTTCATAAAATTGCATTTTTACATTTTCTTTTCTAACTCAGTTAATATTTATTTTATTTAAAAAATTTGGTGGATATGTGGTTAAAAGCGTAAGCCGGCCATATGCTAGCATACACAGTGTTGCCAACTTAGTCATTTTTTTTTTCTAGTTTTAGGGATTTTTTTACGACTCACTGTGGGCCCAATGTCCAAACTAGGTTGCATTAATTCAATTTTTTTTCTATTTACTTAAAACTTTAAAAATAATTAAACTTTGAGACTAACCAATGCTGGTAATTAATTATATAATTTATTTTTTCATTTTCCAAGGTTGCCACGTTAGTATTTTTGGAAATTAATTTATAAAATACAGGATTATCTTCAAATAGTGTAAGAAACCATGCCAACGTTATCTACGGATCAAAATAAGTCGATTTAACCCAAATTACCTATATACTAAGTTGCTTCGTTTAGTCGTTAGAGGCCTTTTAAGTTTTAACTATTTTTTAAATATCTTAAGATAATTAAAAACGTATTAATGAATTTTGAATATTTTTGGAATATAAGTTTTTACTGCCAATTAACGTCGTTTGGTGCTAAACTCAGTTATCTTTAAAAATTAGAATAATCAGAAAAGCAAGGTTAGGTACTAATTTTCGCTTGTCTTTTTTTTACTGTTGTAATGGTTACCAAAAAACTATTTTGTCTCTTGTAAAAGTTGGATGAGCGGTGTAGCCCGAAAAAAATATTTTGTAATGTCTGCATACCTACCTACTATCGATATATAGCGATAGTTTTATGTTTTATCCCGAAAATTATTGAACATTATAAATCTAGAGATTCCTTTTTTGCTTCGTTTAGTGAAATACAGAGTGTTGGTAATAGGTAAATGGTGTATAAAGAGGAGGGTTTTCGCATATTTTTTCGGTCACTTCCGGTTTCACCGGAAATGGGTCCATGTTCAAAAAATTAAATAGAAACCCCTATATATTTACATTCTCGGATTCTTAACATAATTCTGGACTTAAATGTGATTTTTTAATGCTTTTTGAGCAATTCTTAACAATGCATCTAGGCCACCTTGATATAATATTAAAAACGGATAAAAAGAATAAGTAGGCGTAAACACTTTTAACAAATATTAAACGCCATGTATATAATTTGCTCATTGCCCAAGCAATACGTGCGATAAACAACTTAAGATGCATATTAATTGTTAATATTTTCTTTTCTCAGAGGTTTACATTTTTGACTGGGATAAGTTTCGCGATTTTTTGCGATTTTTTTGGTTAACAGTTTTTAGTAGTCTATATCTTTGTCTAATAAAAAATATATATTTTGGCTTGGCATTCGTTGGCCTTCCTATTTTTTTACTCTGCAAAACTTAAAAAATTAAATATTCATGGTAATTACCTTATCAGTTCCTGCCAAAAACAAAAAAAAACACGAATTTTCTATAATTTTATGTACCCAACACAACTAATTAACAGGTCTAATGTCAGTTATGAAATGTTTAAGGCGACTTTTGCTTTTCACGGCCCTCTAAGCTATAAAAAAATTCGCAAAAATCGTAGTTTTAATTAAAACGATTGCATTAAAAATAGACTTTTTTTTAAAGATCTGACATTGGGCATTTATAAAAAAGTCTTCGTAGAGTATTTTCAAAAAGCAATTATGTTTTTACAAGTTTGAATATGTTTTTAATAAAACAATAGTTGCAAATTATACATTTTCAATAATGACTTATTGCAACCTAGTTTGGGCATAGGGCCCACAGTGCGACTGTCGGAATTTTTAAAACAATCATTTTAAGATTTTGTTTTATTTTAATAACATATTAATTTATTCAAAATTAGTATTGTTTGTTTCACTCTTTTGTATAATAATTGTTAAAATTAAGGAATTCTAAAATTTTTGTTATGAAGTGTAGGGATTTGTAAAGTGACCATGTTGGCAACACTGGATAAATTTTAAATAAATAATATTCCTCAAGTGTCCAATAACTATGTGGTTTACCCTAGATAAGGATAATAAAGAGAAATTTTTGATTTTTTAGATACAGACATATAAAGCATTATACAATATAATAGATAATAAATACAAAAATTTAAAAAAAGACAATTAATTTACAGCGAAACGGCATAATATTGTTTGTACAGATTTAAAATTATTATTTATGGTCAATATTATGCAATCTATACATAAATTCATTACAAGTGGTTTTAAGTTGATTTTTAAAAATAATACACACTTAAGAAAAAATAAATATTACGAAACTTGAAGAGCAAAACAATGTAATGTAATAGACATTAATTGAGAAATATTGGTTTGTTTGGTTAGAAACTCTTCAGTGTATTTTTTTCTCATCCTAAATCATTTTGAACTCGATTTTATTCATAAAATCACTTTAATAGTTTAAAAACGCATTTTTGGTTGAAATCTCAAACTAAAAAATAATTGCCTTATAAACGTTACCTAAACATCCAGTAGGTGTTATTGTGATCTGGATCCAAGGTCCTATGTTTTCTCGAATGAAAATTTCCCCGGGAATTCGGCATCCAAATGTCGTACCCTTTATCGGATAGCATGTAAGCAAGGCTTCTCTTTGGACCTAGAAGTATGAAGTTCTCGGAACTTCCCATCAGGCCGTGCATGAGAAGTACCGGCGGTAGATTTGGATCGGGCGTTTTGGGTGGTATTCGGTGGACGTCCAATAGGTAACCGTCCTCAGTTTCTATTTCGTGAGTTTCGCCTAGGTAGCCATATTTTCGAAATATTTGCATCTAAAACAGAAATGTTGCAAGTGCATCCATACCACCAAGAAGTCCGGATTTAACAAGTATAGATTTTTAATTTTCTGGCAAACTTATATACTCTCTAAAAATGAATTATTCAAAAATGACTAATTTATTAGTTATTAGTGGCTGCTTTTTCACTTGCACCATAGTTAAGCATGGAATACCATGGTATCCCAAAATTTAACAACCAATTCTTATGAGTCAATCCAAATGAAAACACCAAAAATGAATTTAAAAGTGCGCTGCATGATTTTTTATTTTGATAAAAAAAAATTAGGATGATCTTTTAGGTATCAAATATGAAAATCCGTTGCCGTTTTAATTTTCGGATTCTTTACTTTTATTCGGCACCCTTTAGAAACCTGAAATCGTGTCAATTTCTTACTCTCTTATAGTAGTAACTTTTTTTCTGTGGCAATTATTGAAATGATTGTAATTTTATTTTACTGCCTAGTAAGTAAGTTTTCAATATTAATTATTATTATCTAATTAGTTCATCTCATAAAAGAATGGTAAACCACTAAAGATTTATAATAATTTCCTGTGCCTATTCTGCTAAATCTAGAAAGTTGTTTTTTTTTCAGGTATCAAGTACAATACAATATACAATAGAAAATGTAAATATAAATATAGTTTCTAGACTATCATTTTCTTTATTAAAAAAAATTATTGAAACTTGATAATTTAAAAAATTAGCCAATTTTGCTCTCAGAAATCATTATGTTGAGGAAAAAATAAAAATCTGAAACTTTCAGGAAATGTAGTCCCCACCTTCATCTTTTCAGTCCAGTTAGTCTTGTTTTGTTATTTTTATTCCTTTAAAAGATATATTAATTTTTTTAATACCCGTTTAGTAGCGTTATAATATTGTTTTATTTATAATTTAAAATTTAGATGGCTTTCATGTTTGGTGGAGAAGTGTCAGAACTGTCAACAATATTTCATAAATATTATTTGTGCGTATTTCTTTGGTAAATTTTGTATAATAAGTGAAATTAATAAATAGTTAATTTAAACGTATAAAAAATGCGTTAAGCTGTTTTTTGTCGGTTTCTTTCACAATTTAAATCAAGTTAGTCTTGTTCTATTATTTTGATCCCTTTAGTAAGGCACTGAATAGTTAAAAGTTATATGTATGTATTTTAAATGTAGAGGTACAAAATTATGATATGTTCTTTCATTTTTAATTGCAATTAAATTCATGAATCTCGAACACTCAGTCATTTATTACATTTGAAAACTTGCAAACTTTTTGAAATCACAATTTAAATACGCACAAATAATATTTACGAAATTTTTTTGACAGTTCTGACATTTCTCTACCAAACATGAATTGACTAAGTCAAAGCCATCTAAATTTTAAATTATAAATAAAACTAACAATATCGCTTCTTAACTCTTAATTTTTTTAATAAAGAAAATGATAGTTTAGAAACTTAAAATAATAGTTACGTTTTCTATTGTATAAGTACTTGATACCTGAAAAAAGCAACTTTCTAGATTTAGTAGAATAGGCACAGGAGCCAGACAAAAATCACAAAAATTGTCAAATTATCATGAATTTTTAGTGGTTTACCATTCTTTTATGAGATTAACTAATTGGATAATAATAATTTACATCGAAAACACACTTACTGAACAGTAAAACAAAATTAAAATCATTTCAATATTTGTCACAGAAAAAAAGTTCTGGCCCACTATAAGAGAGTAAGAAATTGACACGATTTCAGATTTCTAAAGGGTGCCGATTAAAAGTAAACAATCCAAAAATTAAAACGGCAACGGATTTTCATATTTGATACCTAAAAGATCATCCTAATTTTTTTTTATCAAAATAAAAAAACAAGCAGCGCACCCCATTTGGTGTTTTTATTTGGAATATCTCTTATGTAAAATTGTCCCCTGAATCCGAAAATACCGTCAAAAATTATGAAAGTGGAGCAGTTTTTGAGATATAGTCAATTCCATATTAAATGAAAATTGACTATATCTCAAAAACTGTTTTACTTTTTTATCTTTTGACGACATTTTCAAACAATTTTACATAAGAATTGGCTGTTAAATTTTGGGATACCATGGTATTCCATGACTAACCATGGTACAAGTGAAAAAGCAGCCACTAATAACTATTAAATTAGTCGTTTTAAAAATTAAAAAACAAAATCACTGATGTTATCAGAGTCATGTTTTTTTATATTGTACTTACAACTGTCAACTCGGCATCCTCATAATCCTGTGCAAAACTCAACAACACAAAAAACTGCAAAATCAACACGGAAAAATGTAAACAATTCCAACTCATTATTCTTTCGATAGGATCACATTAATAGATAAGTTATTCAAAGTTTGTTCGCTTTTATATGCATTAAAAACAAAAGTATGCAAATCAATTTTTTCAGCTTGCACAATTGCTGTAGGACAACAACAAAATACCTACAACATAAATTATATTGGTGAAGATATTTATATGTAATAAAAAAGTTGATCCTTCATTAAAAGTGGCCGCAATCGGATGTGAGGGCAATGCAAATTAGAGGCGGCGCTTATTTAAATCGACGACTAGATTAAAACCATCCTTTAAAATCTCACGAACAATTTCCAGCACGTGCATTTGACGTTTCCGGTAACAACACTAAACGTCTGACTTCCAGAAACAGGAAAAATTGTTTAATTATGGTTTTGAAATGTCCATTCGTATAATGACGAACGATTAGTGCCTCTATCAGATCTATGACTTCCTATGGAAAATACACTAAAATTAAATTAAAGATAACATGGTATCATTACGTATTATTATTATTATAGATTACGAGGGAGATTTTAAAGCGAAGGTTAAATGTTTATTAAACATTATTTAATGACCCTGTGGAAAATGAACTTTTCTTACGAGTTGAACATGCTATTTTTTTGTATCCTTAGTGAAAAAAGTGGAAAACTTAAGAATATTTTAACAAATTTAATTACAATCTTTAACATTGTTGCTTGTAAAAAATAAACCGTAGCCAAGCATGACAACAAATTAAATAAAAACAGAATTTTAAGATTTTTTTTTGAAGAAAATGAGGGTATTTTGGAAGTCGCTAGAGAAGCGACTCAAAATCTGCTTCCATCTAAGTCAAAAGAAAAATATGATGAAACTTTTGAACAATTCTGTCAATGGAGAAACAATCAAGGGGTACAAGGTGTCAGTGAAAATGTTTGCTAGCGTTCTTTTGGGAAAGGTAAGAAGCTAATGCTTTTAAAAAAGAAATTTTCTAATTTTTTCTGAATCTGAAAAATCTGAAGGCATCGTCACTGTTGCTGAAGAGTACGTTGCAAATATATGAAGGCATTGACATTTTAAAATACAAGCAATTAAATGCATTTTTGAAAAAACAGAATGAACCTAAAAAGTCAAAAGTGTTGTCAATTGAACAAATTCTAAATGACGCTTCGAATGAATCTTATCTAAACTGCGCACCACTCAATGTGTCGCGACCAAAAAGTTCGTTCTTTTTCAAAACGACATAACTTTTTTGTTTCTTGAATGAATTATTATGTCTTACCTTAAAACATTTTTGAAATTTTTCAAATTGGAATCTTAGCAACAAAAATATGATTTTTTTTCAAAAGAGTACATTTGATGCTTTTTTGTAGGCAATACACTAAGCCTTTTTTAAGAACAAGAAGATAAAATGGTGAAAGATTGTTCCTTGAATAATTCTGAACAAGCGACAATTAACAAACTTCCATTATTTTCAGAGGAACCTAAGCAAAGACCACTTTTTCAAAATGACATTTTAGTGAAAATTTGCGAAAACTAAACATAGACCGATATTTACGTTCGTGACATTTTTTCTTCATAATTTTGACCTGAATGTACTCTTTTGGAAAAAAATCATATTTTCGTTGTTAAGATTTCGATTCGAAAAATTTGAAAACCTTTTCAAGGTAAGACATAATACTTCATTATTTCAAAGTAAAAACGAAAAAAAATATTTATTTTTACAAACGGGGCTTGGATGAAGTTATTGAAATTTTTCACCGTTTTACATTTCACCCTGTAGGAAATTTACTTAAAGAACCTTGAGCTTCATATCTATAGCATAAATTGCCAGAGGATGGGGCTAGCAGACATTACAGACCAAAATAAAATCGTCCAAGAAACAAAAAAGTTATGTCGTTTTGAAAAAGGACGAAATTTTTGGTCGCGACACATTGAGTGGTGCCCAGTTTATAATATAAATTTAAAAAACGGAGCGCCATTTTAAAGAAAATTGAATGCCCTTTCTAAATCTATCCATTTAAAAGAAATCTTAGGTTGAAATTTTAAAAGTTTTTAAAACTTTATAGTAGGTATGCATAATAGTCCACCAACCAATTTATATAAAATAAAAAAACAAGGAAAAACTGAAACATGAAATTAATAGTTTATGAAATACTTACCTTCTGGGCCACCAGCAAATGGCCACCTGTAGATTCAAATTTGATATAAATATGACTGCACAATCACATACAAAAATACAAAAGTAAAACCTCAGTTATGGTATAAAACAAACCTAAATCAAAACAATACAAATTCATACGTTTATTTTTATAATATATAACATTGAACATTTTCCGTATAAATTACTATGTATCAAGCGAATTTCAATGCTAATTTAAATAAAAATATTAGTGGCAGATTTAATCTCGTGATTCTACGTAGGAATGTTTTAATACGTGATTGTGCCTTAATACACTTGTGTTATGTGTTTAAAATACAAATTTTTGTGTTTAAATATACATAATTAGGTATACCCTATAATTGCTTTTAGATTGTTATTAGAAGATAATGGTTTATTCAGAATCTAAGTATGAACAATACCAATGCTATTATGTTAAAATTTACATACAGCAGGTAGGACTTTTGTACCATTGACCAGGAAGTACAATTTTTTTGGAAAAATTACCAACCTTGCACGTCAGATTATAATCTCTTATTTTTTATGCTTTGACAAATTTATCTTTTTAAACTTCTAATTGTTTATCTCATTGTTTACAAAATAACAGCAATAATTAAAAAGTCCGGTAAATACAATAAAATCATCATGCTTAATGCCATTCGTTATTAATTATGATAGTTTATTTATTTCTTACGTTGTTTAGACATGTATAAAAAGAAAAAGCAGTTTTAAATATCTAAAAAAAATAGCTATAATTTGTCTTTTCGCCCCACATTTATTTTTTCTACGTACTGTTATCAAAGTTTGCAAACTTATTGTAATCAGTCCACCGGCAGTAAACACTTTGGTCATATTGGACTTCAAAATAACAATTCTTAAAGGGTTATGTAGTGCTGGTGATATACTTTTGTACCAAGAGGAGTTCCAAGCAGAAGGCCCGATTTTGTCCATCTTAAAAGAATTTATTATTATTATGAAATAGTTATACTTATATAGTTATTTACCTCGTGTTTTAGAATTTCAGACCCAACGCAATAAACTGAAATTTCCATAATTAAAATAGTAATATAGCTTACTCCTCTTAATAAAACAGAAATTTCTAAATGTTTGCTAAAATTAAATATTTGTTTAGTAACTAAGTAATTTAAGCGTAAGTATAAGCAACTATGTAGATATTTAAATATCAAAATACAGCTGTGTTTAAAAAAAAAAATAATAATAGATAAATGTAGTTTATAAAATTTAAAAAGATGTAGGGTAAACCACATAGTTATTGGACACTTAAGGAATATTATTTATTTACAATTTATATATGGGGTATTCCATACCAAATCGACCACTTTTGAACCCGACCCCTTTAGATTTTGCTGAAACTTTTCCATCCTTTTCTACCCTTTGAAAAACATTTTTGAAAATTTTTTCAAATTTTTTTGTCCAACCTCAAAAAAGTTATGAATTTTAAAAAAAAATGGCTTTTTTATTTTCAAATAGCCATAACTTTTTTAGAAATTGACTTTTGGGTACCTTTTTTTTTAATTTTTGTTTTTGAATGAACTTTTCAAAAAAATACACGAAAAAATACACGAAAAAAATTTAACATGATCAATTATATAAAATAATCGTTTTTTTTTTAGTAAAATCGTCATTTTTTCGAAGTTCGCCATTTTTTTTTTTTTGTTTTTTTTTCTCAAAAAAAACTTCAATTAATTTGACAACTATCCCCGCTAATCCCGGAGTGGGCCGATTTTTTTTTAATTTTTTTTTATTTATTTAAAAAAAAATTGTCGAATTTTCTTTGACAATTTTTTTTAAATAAATAAAAAAAATACAAAAAAAAATCGGCCCACTCCGGGATTAGCGGGGATAGTTGTCAAATTGATTGGAGTTTTTTTTGAGAAAAAAAAACAAAAAAAAAAATGGCGAACTTCGAAAAAATGACGATTTTACTAAAAAAAAACGATTATTTTATATAATTGATCATGTTAAATTTTTTTCGTGTATTTTTTTGAAAAGTTCATTCAAAAACAAAAATTAAAAAAAAAGGTACCCAAAAGTCAATTTCTAAAAAAGTTATGGCTATTTGAAAATAAAAAAGCCATTTTTTTTTTAAATTCATAACTTTTTTGAGGTTGGACAAAAAAATTTGAAAAAATTTTCAAAAATGTTTTTCAAAGGGTAGAAAAGGATGGAAAAGTTTCAGCAAAATCTAAAGGGGTCGGGTTCAAAAGTGGTCGATTTGGTATGGAATACCCCATATGTATGCCGTTGTTTTAAAGATTTTAGTTTTTTTCTTATAAAAATATAAAAAGAATAGTTTGTTTGTTTAAACTTTATTTACGTTTACTTAAAAATAAGAATATGTGAATTTTGAATTATAATTTTATAAAAACATGTAAAAAATATAGTAATTGGACAATTTATATAGTTATTGGACACATGGGCCATAGTTATTGGACATACAATTTTTATATAAACATAACAACTTTACATCAAATAACAAAAATTGTTAAATATTTTTTAAACATAAATTGCTGTTTTAGGTAATTTTTTTTATTTCGTTTTTGTAAATATCATATAATTGATATATATTAACTAATACACAGCAAAAAGTCAAATATAAAAACGCAACATCAAATACTGTTTATTATGGAGTACCGCAAGGTACTGTGTTAGGTCCATTATTATTTTTGTTGTATGTTAACGATATAGTTAAGGTTGTCAACCATTGTCAAATTGAATTATTTGCAGACGACACGATGGTTTATGTAAGCGGAACTGATGTTAAACACATGGAAACAATTCTAAATCATGATCTTTATTGTATATTCAAATGGCTGTGCAATAATAATTTAAGTATAAATATCGGTAAAACCAAATTTTGCTTGTTTGGAAGAAAATCAAAATTAAATCTGACTGCATTAAATAATGTCAATATTGTAATACATAACATAAATATTATGCCTGAAACCCAGATTAAATACTTGGGTGTTATATTTTACAATTAGCTTTATTTCTAGAATTAGTAAACATTTAACAAATTTATTAATTTTGTTTCCATTAGTTTTTTATGTTCTCTATGATGCACTGTATTTAAATCACTGTTATTCTGCCAGATGTCCTTTGACGAAGAAATCACTATATTACTTACTCTCTTAAAATGAATTAATCAAAAATATCATAGCGAAAAAGCAGCCACTAATAATTCTCGTCAAGAGCAATTTGTATCCAGGACATTTAGCAGTCCATTCCTATGAAATATTATTCGCTGAATCCGAAAATGTCGTCAAAAGTTATAAAAGTAAGAGTTTTTGAAATATAAACAATTTTACATATAATATAGAATTGACTATATCTTAAAAACTGCTTAACTTTTATAGTTTTTGACGGTCTTTTCGGATTCAGGGGACAATTTTACATAAGAATTCAATTCTTAGAATTGGCTGGTAAAAATAGAGTGATATTGGACATAATATGTCCAATAATAGAAATTTACATTGCTTACCAACCAGTAATTGGAATTAAAATTTAAACGCATTAAAGTGACAATGTTTAAACTATGAGGAACACATTTATACCACACCCCTAGTAGCAATGGAATTGGACAAGATTCTTTGTCAAGATACTTGGAAAAGCACTTTGTAAAGAATTGGACAATTCTTGACCAAGACTCTTGATCAAAATTCTTTATCCAGACTGGTGCCAGACTTGCGACAAGTCTGTGACCAGAATTCGACCAGATTCTTGGCCAAGAATTTTGACGTATACGTCAAAATTCTTGTCCCGAAATTGGGGGGCCAAACTTAAAAAGTGCATTCTTTATAGAAAAATAACACTTGTTTGTTTAATAAACATGTATAAAAAAATGCCCCCTAACGGAGCTACGGCCCCCTGAATAAGAGCATATATGCTTATAAGAGGGTCATTTTTTTAAAACTATTCCTAGAGGTTTGAACAGGAAGATATAAATTTTTGGTACTTTGGTAATTTTGACATGCTGAATCTAGATCTTAGAACAAAACTGTTAAAATTGAATCATAGGCGTTACATTTGGGGGGGCAAAGTTACAAAAATAGCCCTAACTTTTTTCTAGGTTAATGTTTTAATTTTTGTTTATGAAATTATGAAAGTTATAGTTTTTTACGAAAAATAGGTACTCTTTATTTAGATCGTTTAGATGCACCATTTTCGAGAAAAATGCATTTATAAATAAATTACTCTCATTATTATTATCTCATATTTTCATTAAAACGTTCATGAAGAAATGAATTTTTGGTACTTTGGTAATTTTGACATGCAGAATCTAGATCTAAGATCAAAACTTTTAAAATTTCATCATAGGCGTAACATTTGGGGGGGGCAAAGTTACAAAAACATCCCCAATTTTTTTCAGAGTTAATATTTCAAATTTTTATTATAAAATTATAAAAAATATAACTAAATATTATAAATAACCCAAACGTCACTTTTGTCCTAAAGCCTACTAGAAAATTCAATAGATCAAAACTGTTAAAATTGAATCATAGGCGTTACATTTGGGGGGGCAAAGTTACAAAAATAGCCCTAACTTTTTATTCGATATTTTTCTATTTAATGGCAATTAAAGTTAGAACAGTAGTAAATATGGCGGTATATCTGCATAAAATAACCATAAATCATCGTCGGGTCATCGGACGTTAAAGAAAGAAAAAAACACGTTTAACGTCTAGGATTCCCATACATGTATGCTGCAGCACACTACATCCCATGGACGTACATTATATATATTTTTTGTGTTCTAAATTAGGACCTTTATGCACAATTATTGTATTATTTTCAGAGAATAAGACGAAATAAGCGTTAAACTGACAGATGCCTAACCTCATGAGGTTTTTGTATTCAAATGTCAAAGTGGGACTTGCGTGGAACCAAATACTGTGGAATGTATTTGGTGGAAAATAGTACAATGTAAGTTTTGAAAAAAAACGCATTAAAACAGTATACCAAGTATACCTATACGGTTTTTACACGTTTATTAATGTTAAATTAGAGGCTTTATAGCCTGCTCTAAATTTAAATGTTTTAACATTATCGTTATAAAAATTTATTAAAATTAACGACTTTTTATTTAACTTACCCGCTGCAGTAAAATAAGCACTCCCGCTGTTTACGTGTTACGGAAAGAAGTAATGTCCATTTGAATGCTCCATTGTAATTGTTCGGATGCATTCGGAAATAGTCAACATCTGCCTCTTAGGGATTTACTACCTGCTCGTATTGAATTAATTATTTTGGGTATTTTACATATTTAACTGTATTTTTATTAAATCGTTAATTTTTTGATATATTTTTGTAAAGTTTTATAAACATTTATTCTTATTTCTTTATATTAGTATTTTAAATTTTTATATTAATATTTTAAATGTAGGACAAATTTTTAAATATTTGATAAAAAATATCAAATATTTATTTTAATATTTAAAAATTTGTCCTACATTTAAAATATTAATATAAAAATTTAAAATACTAATATAAAGAAATAAGAATAAATGTTTATAAAACTTTACAAAAATATATCAAAAAATTGCATTAAAATATTATGAGATTTTTTTAAAATACTTTAAAATAGTTTAACTCGGATTAGTAAAACTGAAACAAATTTTGGTAGGGCTTTTTTAAAAGGTATTCAAGGTAAAAGTTGAATTTATAAAAATTTTCAAGATTTTCAAACTTTTTCAGCGAAACAAAATTTATGGTAAAATTTAGTAGGACCCTTTTTTAGGAAAATAGTATCTAAACCCATGAGCAAAGAAAGCTGCCTTTTTATTTAAAAAGAAATGGTAAATAATTACATTAATAATTGAGGAGAATCCGTGCAAAATCGGCTATATCCACTTTAATAAAATGTTGGGAAAATGGCAAAAACTCTCGGTTTCCTGGCCTTTACAGATAAAAGAAAAAGCAAACTTGAGTTTGTGGGCTTTGTGGTACTTGATTTATAAGACATACTTTCGTTTTCAAAAACTTTATATTAAGGCCAAAATTTCAAAAAAATGTTTTGTATATAGCCGGTTTT